ACAACAGGTGTTGGCGAGGATGCGGGGAAAAAGGAACCCTCTTACACTGTTGGTGGGAATGTAGACTAGTACAACCACTCTGGAAAAAAATTTGGAGGCTACTTAAAAAGCTGGACATCGATCTACCATTTGATCCAGCAATACCACTCTTGGGGATATACCCAAAAGACTGTTACTCCAGAGGCACCTGCACATCCATGTTTATTGCGGCACTATTCACAATAGCCAAGTTATGGAAACAGCCAAGATGCCCCACACTGACGAATGGATTAAGAAAATGTGGTATCTATACACAATGGAATTTTATGCAGCCATGAAGAAGAACGAAATGTTATCATTCGCTGGTAAATGGATGGAATTGGAGAACATCATTCTGAGTGAGGTTAGCCTGGCCCAAAAGACCAAAAATCGTATGTTCTCCCTCATATGTGGACATTAGATCAAGGGCAAACACAACAAGGGGATTGGACTATGAGCACATGATAAAAGCGAGAGCACACAAGGGAGGGGTGAGGATAGGTAAGACACCTAAAAAACTAGCTAGCATTTGTTGCCCTTAACGCAGAGAAACTAAAGCAGATACCTTAAAAGCAACTGAGGCCAATAGGAAAAGGGGACCAGGAACTAGAGAAAAGGTTAGATCAAAAAGAATTAACCTAGAAGGTAACACCCACGCACAGGAAATCAATGTGAGTCAATGCCCTGTATAGCTATCCTTATCTCAACCAGCAAAACCCCTTGTTCCTTCCTATTATTGCTTATACTCTCTCTACAACAAATTAGAGATAAGGGCAAAATAGTTTCTGCTGGTATTGAGGGGGGAGGGGAGGGGGGAGTGGGTGGTAAGGGAGGGGTGGGGGCAGGGGGGAGAAATGAACCAAGCCTTGTATGCACATATGAATAATGAAAAATGAATAAAAATAAAATAAAAAAAAAAAAAAAGAATTCAGAAATTTTCCACAAAACTTTCTGTCCAGCAAATCTTGACTACGGTTCCCCAAATTTTTTGATTCTCCATTAAGCACATTTCTCATCTGTTCGAAGCCCCAAGTAATATTTATCCCTTATATTTAGTCCCATTTATGCAGAAATCCTTCCTTTCTAGTGTTCTACCTCTTAATATCATACCTATAGCACCAACTGAGGCTTCAGTCATAGTAGCTGCAACAGAATCAGTTGTCCCGTTTTTTATCTTCACTATGTTATAAATTGTAGACAAAAAGAAATGCTGTCACACAGGGAGTTTCTCAATGATGGGAAGACTCTAACAGATAGGCACAGAGGCAAAAGTCACTAGCACAGAGCCTATAAATGAAACCCAAAGATAAAAAACAAACAATTGAGATATATCCCTTGCACACATCTCCTCTTTTATAGCCAATAAAGTCAGTTTGGTTGCTGAAGTGATAGAACCAATAGTACATTTTCTATTTTCTACAGATGGCCAATGATAGCAGAATAAGCTAAGTGCCTCAACCATTTCTTGGTGGTTTATTATTATGAGCCATTAACCCACCATGAAAAGATTGTATGTTCTATACTCTTTCCTCCCCAAAATGGCAATAAAATATGTTGAACCACCCATATTTTCTTAGTTATACTAGATAATAGCAGATACAGCAGTTTAAGTCTTTGGCACCAGAGCAATCTAAGTTATGGGACCTAAAGCAAATTACATAAACTTTATTTTTTTTGGTGGCACTTGGGTTTGAACTCAGGGCTTCATGCTTGTTAGGCAGGTGCTCTTACTGCTTGAGTTACCTTGCCAGCCTTTAAACTTCTTTAAACATGTTCATCAATAAAATGAGCATCATCAGCAGAAGTCTAAGATGGCCCCCAAGATTTCCTGACTCCCTGATGTATTTGCTTGCATAATTCCCAGCACCTCACATGATCACAAAGGATTTTACTCCCATGGTTTGGTTATGTTACATAATATAGTTGACTTTAATATAGGGAGATTATCTGGGTAGGCCTAGCCAAAACACAAGGGCCCTTTAAAAGCAGAATGCTTCCCAGCTGGTTATAAAAGAGGAAGTCAGAGATTCAAAAAATAAGGTTTCAGTATGCCACTGCTGACTCTGAGATGTAGGCACTTACATGCAAGGACCAGAAGAGAAGTCTCTAGGAGTTAAAAATCAACAGCCTCCAAGAAAATAACCATCAAGGAAAAAAGGACTCCAACCCTACAACCACAAAGAACCAAACACAATGAGCCTGGAAGCTGATTCTTCCCCCAGAGACTCCAGATAAAAGCCAACACCCTGATTTCATCCTTGTGAGAAACTAAGCAGAGAACCCAGCCAAGTCCACCAGAATTTCTGACCTACAGGACTGTGAGCTAATAACTGAGCACTGCTATAAGCCACTAAGCTTGTGAAAATATGTTACATGACAATAGGAAATTAATACAATGAGAATAGAGCAGATGCTCAATAAATGTTAGCTTTTATTGGGGTCAGCCACATGGTTGTGAGAAGGTTAAAGTACAAGTTATCCAAGCAAAGCTGGTAATATAACATGGCCTTCAGACCCAGGGTCCATTTGGTCTTGTATGGCTGATATTAACAGTGTTTCTCAAGGGGAGAGACATTACTGGCATTTGTTGGAGTGAGGGGTTCATTGAGTAGGACTAGCCCTGGATATGGAATAGTGCTCCCCTAGTTATTTCAACAACCAAAACGCTCCTGTACATTTCCAACCACTCTCTCCCACAAGGGATAGAACTGGGCTTGAAACAAGAGTTTTATGCCCTAGGCACAAAATTTTGGGCTTCCATATGCCAAATAAACACACAGCAATGGGCCGGGTGCAGGTAGCACATGCCTGTAATCCTAGCTACTCAGGAGGCAGAGATCAGGAGGATAGCAGTTTGAAGCCAGTTCCAGCAAACAGTTAGCAAGACCCTATCTCAAAAATACCCAGCAAAAAAGGGGACTGGCAGAGTGGCTCAAGTGGTAGAGTGATTGACTAGCAAGCATGAGGCTCTGAATTCAAACCCCAGTACCACAAATAAAGAAAAAAAGAGACACAGTAATGTTGAAAGGTGGAGAGAGGAGATTTATTACAGGACTTGGGATATGCTGTGAGAAGAGCCAAAGTAAGCACTCGGTCCACCTTTAGCCATCTTCAGGGTACAGATATAAGCTTTAGTTTTAAATAGACAAAGAATTAGGGGCAGGGGACAAAAGATATGCATAGTTAAACAATCCCAGTCACAGGTATGTTCCAGGAGTCTAGTAGGGCCTGGCTGACCACTATCTCAGTCCTCAGTTATCACTGTCATCATTTGATGGGACATGATTACCCTGCTTCAGGGTGCAGCCTCATCATTATAGGTAATTGTCCTCATTTGAAGGGGTGGTCTGTCCTGCAAGGCTCCACTGTTCATTAGGGGTAGTTTTGGTCCCTTGTCATAAATATTAGTTATAGGTTCTGTTCTTCCTTGATTCTAAGGTGACTGCAGGAAAGAATGCCTCAGAACAAAGGACAACAGGAACAAACTGGAGACAGATATGCCAAGCTTTTCTCCTGTTTTTAGTTAATTCATAGTCTTGAGTAGTCAGTGCTTTTCAGCAAATCAATTTAAGCATCTCTTACAGGGTGAAAACTTTGAGAAGTACTGTGGGCGAAATTTCATTTAAAAAATATGGTTGTCTTAAATGTTGGCATAAAGCTTCCCCAGTAACTAAAATGCTACCCAGGTTGCATGCACCTAAGAATCACCAGAGGCACTTATTTAAAAATAAGGACTCCCCAGCTCCTTGGCTGGAATTTCATACCAGAGACCTGGTGCACAGCCCCAGAAAATCTACTCTTACTTAAGTACCCCAGGTGAATAATCATTGCTCATAGAAGTTTGGAAAATACTAAGTTAGAACTATGCTTGGCCATAAATGCATTCAGCAAAGGTTCACTACACTAGAACTGTGACTCACATCAAAATTCTTTGAAATTGTGCCTTTTCCAGAGTTGTAAATCTGATTTTGAACTGTTCTATTATACAAGATTTTCTTTAGGTCATAGTGATCGAAAATGGTACTCCAAAGTCATGGAAGTGGAATACTCTTCCAAAACTTTCTCTTTACCAGAATTACTTTTTGAAATGACACGTTCCACGGTATAAAGTAACAATTTTTTCCCTATTTCTCACACTTCGAGCAAGGTCTGTAATTTAAGTCCATGCCTCAATTCTGTCTTTTTTTTTTTAACTATCTCTGATTTCTTTTTTATGATACCACGTTCCTCAAAGATAGCGCTCTTAACTCCTTCCCTTTTTCCTTCACTAATCCCGTTCTGGATTTCTTCAAACCCTGACTCTAGTCCTGTACGCCATATCCCAGGAGCTCAGGCACCAGAGGGTGGTCAATGATGTGTTCTATTTCCAAACCCTCCCTGCTCATGTCCCCTGCCGCTCTGCCCCACCATTAAGCACCCTGGGGCCCAAGGACTGAGATGAGAGCGAATTGAGTGTGTTCTCCCTTTGCTTCCATATCTGCCCGCTAATGCTGGCGCCGACCGTTGAAAGCGGATCATGCTCACGTCTGTTTCCTCATCCCACTCCGTACACCCACATCTTCAACAGAACAGTAAGATGCACGCTGCTGGGGCGAGGCAAAGCATTTACCTCCCCTAATAGAGCAGAACTAAAATGAAAATGCCAAGGCTGTTAGCAACTGACTTCCTTGCAACCAAGATAACGCCGGTGCAGCCATCTTTATAGTGGCCTACGAGTACTTGCGTTCGTCAGCCTAGGCGAAAATGAATAAGAAAGTCCGCAGACCCTAAACTTTGAAATTAGCATAGTCCCGCCGGGATCGCGCTGGGAACCCTACTGTTCTCAGGCTGCCGCCCCGCCCACAGAGGGCTAGTGGTGTCAAGACAGAACGCCCGCCCGCAACCGACAAAATGACGCGAGGGGACTGGCCGCGCGTCCACTTGGCCCGGGCGCTTCCGGCTCACGCGCTGTACGGAAGCGTGGTCTGCGCTGGGCTTGCGCGCCATACGGAAGTGTGCTGAGCCGCACCGGAAGCCGCCGGGATAGAGGGATGGCGGGTTTGACTGTGCGAGACCCTGCGGTGGATCGTTCTCTACGTTCTGTATTTGGTGAGAGAAATTGATGGAACCAAGCCTCAGGGAAGGACAGAAAGAGGCAGGGAGCGGCGAAGAACGCCACTTCCCTGCACCTCCTATCTCATGTTTCGCCGCGAAAGCCGGTGATGGGTCCAGCATGCAGCTCTCCCTGCATAGCTTATGGGGCGGCCAACCTGGTAGGCGCGTGGGCAAAGACCGCTGAGGTCTTGCAGGTTTCCCGTAGTATCGTTGCGGGAGTTAGACAAACGTTTGTTTTCTATGCATCTCCCCCTTCGTGATCATTAATTGTTTTTTTTAGAAGAGCGCATGGCAACGGCGCCGCACTGTTCGGTGCTGCATCTCAATCTCCCTACCCCCAGATTTATGCGGAGGGTACAGATCCCTGTGTCCCCTTCTCCACTTCCGCCCTCTCATAAGGACTTACATCCCTTGCTTTTTATTCGTAACATTTTAGTTCATCCATAGCGGTAGCGGCCATCTGACGTCTTGAGGTGGATTGTAAATAAATGAATGAATGAAAAATTTAAACCTCGTCAGAAGGACCTTAAAGAGGATTGAAACGCATCTGGGTAATTTTCACGGCCGGAATAAGTTAAAGCACTTTTTGAAAGGGACATGACAAAACAGTTCAGAATAATTTTTACACATCCCCCACTATGTTCACGGTTACTCTCCTATAAGTGTGTTTATGTAGGAAAATGCAGACATATGAACCTGTTTTTTTAATTATTTTTATTGTTGTACTGGGTACATTGTGACATTTACAAAATTTCTTCCAATTTTTCACAGTTAATTCACCCCCTCCATCATTCTCCTTTATCCCTCCCTCCCCCCATTCCTGGAATAGTTTCAACAGGTCTCATTTTTCCATTTACATATATGTGTACAGAATATTTCCACCATATTTACCCTCCCACCTCCTTTCCTTATATCCTCCCCCCCTCTCACTGGTACCAACCCTGAACCTGTCTTTAAAATTATTAGTTTTAAGTAGTCTCTGCAAAGACTTGCAGGCCTTCAGGCATATGTCAGTGCTTAAGTATGTATTTTTATCAACGTTAAGGAAAATTAGTATGTCTCGAATCCATTTAAGAAGTATATGAGAGAGGGCTGGGGATGTAGCTCAGTGGTAGAGTGCTTGCCTGGCATGAGGCAATCCCCCCACCCAGTGCCAGAAAAAAACGTTGAACCTTGGGCCAAGGTGTGATAGAAAAAGTTTGCTTGCGAGTCTGGAGGATCACAAGTTCAAGGTTATATAGGGAGACCCTCTCTTAAAATAAATAAATAAAAATTAAAAGAAGTATTTGAGAGTACCTGCATCTTTTGTGTTTGGTCTCTGGTTCATTTCTCTTATTAAGAAGTCTGAAGAAATACAATGGAAGTGAGTTTTAGAGAACTATTTCTAGTCAGTTGTTACTTTCTTATAAGGATCTATATTACAAACTTGCAATTTTAATACTATCTATTCCTTAGTGGGGAACATTCCTTATGAAGCTACTGAAGAGCAACTGAAGGACATCTTTTCTGAGGTTGGACCTGTTGTTAGTTTCAGGTGAGATCCTCTTCTACTTCTTGTGGGAGATTGTTAAAAATTACCACAAAATTGACTTAGTAATAGCAGGGTTTGTTTTTTTTTACTGATAACTTCTCATACATTTTATTATTTTTACTAACGTTTATTGCTAGATAATTCACCTACTGTGCAGTTCACTCCATTCTTCCCTAAGATTTTTTTTTTCATTAAAACTATTTGAAGTGTTGGCAGAGTGGCTCAAATGGTAGAGCGCCTGCCTAGCAAGTGTGAGGCCCTGAATTCAAACCCCAGTACCGCCAAAAATATTTGAAAATATTACAATGAGGCAGTCAGAGTTGTAAGATTATTTATCTTACAGTGAGCCAAATTAAAGCATGGCAATGTTAACAGGAACCCTGTATGTGTAACATTTATGCCTGATACTGAATTTTGCTCTCCAGATTGGTATATGATAGGGAGACAGGAAAACCAAAAGGTTATGGCTTCTGTGAATATCAAGACCAAGAGACGGCACTTAGTGCCATGCGGAACCTGAATGGGCGTGAATTCAGTGGGAGAGCACTTCGAGTGGACAATGCTGCCAGTGAAAAGAACAAAGAAGAGCTGAAGAGTGAGTATAAACCCAAGTTGTATGCATTACGAGTTAGTAAAATGTAGAAATGAATATTTTCCATTTGTGATGTTTTAGAATATGCTGAAATAACTATGTGCCTCTTCTTGACCTATCTGAGGTGCATGAGTTAGAGAAGTGTGTTTCTTTGAGAAACAAAGTAAAGTTGACATTAGAAATCCTTCTGTTGCTAAGGAGTTGGTTTCTACTTAAAGGTGAATTCAGGTACAGCATTTGGTAGTGCTAACTATGTTATTAGTCACTACTGTGAGTATGTTGTCACATCAGTAAGTGGTGAGGGTACTAAAGCAGTTTATGGTGCTTTTTGCAGGAGATAGATCCACAAATTTTCTCTTGAAACTAGCACCTTTGTCTACTTAAACCTTTGTCTTCTGAAATGACTTGTCAAAAGAAGTCAATATACCTGGTTCCATTGCCCATCTGTGTAATAATGGTCCTAGCTTTTCTTTAAGAAAGAAAACATACTCTTACTTTCCTAAACAGAAAGAGACCTTCAAATCACTTATTTCTCAGCTCCAGAGAATTTAAATTTTCCAGTTGGTGCTTACAGCAGTCCTGGAAAATAGTACTTGAAATGATTTAGCTTTTTATTTTGCCTTCCTAACTTTATTGTACTTTCTTCCTGATCAGGCCTTGGCACTGGTGCCCCTGTCATTGAGTCACCTTATGGAGAGACCATCAGTCCTGAGGATGCCCCTGAATCCATTAGTAAAGCAGTTGCCAGCCTTCCACCAGAGCAAATGTTTGAGCTGATGAAACAAATGAAGGTGGGAGGAGGCATTAGGTTATGAATAAAACAATTCACATCAGATATTCAAGGAGTTAATTCACGAGTTAATGGAATTAGTTCTCTAAGCCAAAGTCTCTAAACCAAATGCAAGTTGGTTTTGTAGATACCATTTCTTGCACACATTCAGTATTCCATATGTGCACAGTACATTTTACATTTTGTGCAGAGCTTTCTGTTTTTGTACACAAACATGCCTGCCAAAACAATGCACCTAGTTTTTTTTCTGTACCCACCATATATATCAGGTATAGATATTAAAATGTGACTTTTTATTTCTTAAATGACAGTATGATATTTTAAATACCTCTTTCTCCTCTTGCCTGCCATGGCAGGATTTTGTGTGCCATGTAAAAAGCAATGACATACTCCCTCTTTTTTGCGGGGGGGATGCAGTACTGGGGATTGAACTCAGGACTTCACTCTTGCTAGGCAAGTGCTTTATCACTTGAGACATGCCACCAATCCTTTTGCTTTTAAGTTGTCTTTAGGTAGGGTCTCATACTTTTTCTCAGGCTGACCTTAATCTGTGACCCTCTTTACCTCTGCCTCCTGAGTAGTTGGGATTACAAATTTGCTCCACCACGCCCAGCTGGGTTTTTTTGGGGAGGAGGGGCCTGGCCTCAAACCATGATCTTGTCTCTGCTTCCCAAGTAGCTGGAATTGCAGGTGTGCACCACCACACTCCATCCCTCAAACAGTCTCTTGAATATTATATTTCTCAGTTAGGAATGGCTGTAAATCACTATTAAATTCTAAATAATAAGTATTGAACCTGATGATGAATCTGCTTATCTTCTCAGCTCTGTGTCCAGAATAGTCCCCAGGAAGCACGGAACATGTTGCTTCAGAACCCACAGTTAGCTTATGCTCTGCTGCAAGCACAGGTAGTGATGAGAATTGTGGATCCAGAGATTGCCCTGGTGAGTACTTCTGGTTCTTTTGTGGATATGGTAGGGTAAGCCTTCAGTGGGACAGGAACTACCTGACTGCTTTGTCAAACAAATAGCTCATAGGTTTTTCTTTTCACTTTTTAGAAAATTCTGCACCGCCAGACAAACATCCCAACGCTGATTGCCGGCAACCCTCAGACAGTCCATGGTCCTGGGCCTGTCACCAATGTGTCCAGTGTGTCAATGAACCAGCAGAATCCTCAGGCCCCTCAGGCCCAGTCTTTGGTAGGGCTTTATCCCTTAACATTTCTTTTATCTATCTTAGAATATTTCCTTTTAGGAGAATATATTGAAACAAAAATGTTCAGGAATCAGAGATGGTTTTAATTTCCAGCCATAGAATTAGTTCTCAGATTGCAGACCACATGGCATCTGAATGAATATAGATTTGGTTTGAAGATTATAAAGAGATCCTTCCTGGATGCCCTTTTCTTGTAAACTTATGTGTGGCACTGTGGTTAACGGTTTATTTCCATATCTCACTTAATCTTGACAGCAGTTGTATGAAGTGAGCACTTTTATTGTCTCCATTCTTACCAATAATAAAAGAAACACCCACTTTGAAAGCACAACACAAATCCTGAAGCCATAAAAAATTATTTAAAAACTGAAGTTTTTCTGTACAGAGAAAGGGAAGTAAGCACAAAAGACAAAATGGGGAAAGAGTCCTTGGTCATGTTCAAAAAGATTTACTGCCACATTGTACTAGTGAAAATTGGAAGCATCTGAAATGTACATCAATGGAAGAATGAAGAAAATACGATTTATTTATCTGATGGCATGCTTTGACTCCTAAATAAACTACATGTATCAACATGAATGACTTTAAAAAAACATAGTTACATACAGCATTAAGGTGAGCTAGGATATATGGCATCAACACAAGATAACTCAAAAGTATAACACCATGTGGAACTCAAAAGTATAACACCACGTGGAAAGTGAAATTAAGTGAATATGGAAACATTAGCCCACTGTAATGCATGTATCTGCATAAATCCTCAAAATTTTGAATGTGGGCTGGAGGCATAACTCAGGGAGGTGTGGAGAGCACCTGCTTTGCAGGTGTGAAGCCCTGAGTTCAAACTCCAGTCCCACCAAAAAGAAATATATGTTGAGTGAGTTAAAGAATTATTCAGTATGTAATGATTCATATAAAATTTTTTAAACATGTATAAGAATTCTTAGTGTCTGTCTAAGGCTGGCAGGTATAGGGTGTGACTGAGAAAGACCATAGAGGAGATTTTGTACATACACACACATATATATATTTATGTAATTCTTAAGCTGAGTTGTTGTATTTTCTCCATGATTTCTGTAGTTGTAATTCTTCACACTAAGCCAAAAAAAAAAAAGACTTCCTATAAACTAGTAAGAAAATTACCAATAACCCAGAAGAAAAAGGGAGAGTGGATATGAACAGTTTGTAAAAGTGGAAATGTAAATATATGAAAAAAATGTTCAACCTTGAAGTAAGATAAATGTAAACACAAACTATAATAAGCTACTATTTTTCGCCTATCAAATTGGTAGAGGTTAACAATATGTCTGGATCCTACAAGGTATAGGGTAGGGATTAGCAAACATTTTTCGTAAATGCCCAGATAGTAAATATCTTTGGTACTGTAAGTTGTAGGATCACTGTCACAACTACTCCATCATAGCAGTGTGAAATCAGCTGTAGACAATATGTAAATAAGTGTCTGTGGTTCCAATAAAACTTCATTTATAAAACCAAGCAGTGAGCCATCGTTTGACCCGTGGGCCATAGTTTGCCAGTCTCTGCTCTAAATAAATAATTTTTTTAGAGACAGAAAGGAAATGACCTAGCGTCCAGAACTGGTCCAAAAATGGAACTGTAAGTAGTAGATCTAGGATCTGACCCTGGTCCTATTAGGCTTTGTAGTCTGTTTCCTCTAAACTACCTCCATATATAGTTACCTCTTTTTTTTTTTTTAGAATTTTTTGTTCTTTAATTGTTTATGTGATTTTTTTTTGTAACTTAGCTTTTATTTATTGGGGGCTTTTAGGTAGTGCTAGGATTTGAACTCCGGGCCTTGATGCTTGCTAGACAAGTACCCTACCACTGAGCCACACCTCCAGCCCTTTTTACTTTGGGCTGTTTTTCAGATAGTCTTACTTTTTGGCCGGACCAGCCTGGGACTGCAATCCTACCTTTGTGCTTGCCATGTAACTGAGATCACAGGCATTAGAGGGGTGAATTTGGTCAAAGTACATTATGTGCATGTATGGAAATATAATGAAACCCCTTTGTACAATTAGTACACTCTAATTTAAAAAGAGAGAAAAAAGAACTAAGACAGGCATACACCACCACACCCAGATTATTTGTTGAGATGCAGTCCTGCGAATTTTTTGCCTGGGCTAGCTTTGCCTGGGACCCCAGTCCTGAACTCTGCCTCCTGAGTAGTGGGGCTTATATGTGTGAGCCACTGTGCCCAGCTTATTGAATTCTTCATATTCCAAAGGAGTGTTCAGTTCTCTGGAGAGTATGCACATGAAATGATAACATTCCATTCCTCTCAAGGAACTTTAACGTATCATTTTAAAAATTCACACCCCCCACCCCAAGCCAGAATTAAATCCTAGGAGAAGAGTGAGAGAAGCATGGTCAAATGAAAATGTTTTTATCTTAAAAATGTAGACTACCAGCAGTTGCTTTTTAAAAATATCCCAGCCTTGTTTTTGTCTTCTTTGGTTCAGAGTACTTTTTTTTAATTCTAGGCCCCAGTCATGAAGTCAGAAATGCATTTAGAACATACTCCATCTTAACTGTTCACAAGCTCATGACATGTATTGAAACTTCCTTCTATAGAATTCAAAAGTATGTGATAAATCTAATGTTGTAATACTATAAAGGTGTTTAGTAGAATATTTGGAGCTGCCAATTTGAGGAGTACTGTGAGGTCATAGATTAAATTATTGAGTCTCCACAAAGATATGTAAATGCTCTGATTTTTCTCTTGGTCAGGGTGGAATGCACGTCAATGGCGCACCTCCTCTGATGCAAGCTTCTATGCAGGGTGGAGTTCCAGCACCAGTGCAAATACCACCTACTGTAACAGGACCTGGCCCTGGTTCCTTAGCTCCTGGAGGTAAGTTTCATTTAGAGTCTTGGCAGCTGCTGCAGTGCAGCCATATTATTATGTGATAAAAGAATCTTGATATAAAACTAATGTGCAGCTAGGAAGTTGTTGTTTGAGAGAGCGTCTCTGTATGTGGCCCAGGCTGGTCTCAAACTCATGATCATCCTGCCTCAGCTTCCCCAGTGTTGAAATTGCAGGAATGCACCACCACATCCAGCTAGATGATTTCTTATAATACAAGTCAAATTGCTATAGAAGTTTCTAAATGTCTTTTCTTCATTTCTGTTCTTACTTTGTCAGGTTATAGACACAGTAGTAAGTTTACAGTCCACATTCTTTGATTATAAGGCAATAAAATTAGACAAATAACTAAAAGATGACTGGGAAAAATCTTTACTTAGGAAATTAAAGAATGTACTGTAGCTAATCCTTGAATTAAACAGGAAAAAAATTATCTAATGGAAGTTAATCTAAAGGAAAACAAAAAGTAGTATATATGTGTCATACAAAAAGTACAGGAAAATAGTAAAGGCAGTGCTTAAAGGAAAAATGAATATCCTTAAGTGACTATATTATTAAAAAATAAAGGAACTCTTAGTACTAGTTCTAAGGAATTAGAAAAATAATAAACCAGAAGACACCAAAAAGAGAAAGCTAATGGAGACAAAAAGCGTAAAATTTAAATAATTAAACTTCCAAGTAATGCTTTTCAGTTTATCAGACTTATGCTGAATTTATTAAAATTTAAAACTTCATGAAGACTCTTGAGATACCCTGTATAAATCTCTTTAACAATTGATGAGAAAGAGAAAAAAAACCTAGTAGAAAGTAGGCAAAGATGGGCCGAACATAGTGGTGCATGCAATATAATCCTAGCTACTCGAGTTGAATGTATGAGGATTGTGTTTTGAGGCCAACTGGGGCAAAGTTAGTGTGAGACACTGTGAAAAACAAACTAAAAGCAAAAGAACTGGGGACACTGCTCAAGTGGTAGTAGTGCACACACACACACAAAAAGTGGGCATTGAAAATGTCTAAGTACTTCACAGAAGAACAAAGCCAAATGGCTGACAAAAACCAAATTCATTAACCAGCTACCAGTGGCTCATTCCTGTAAACGTAGCTACTTGGAAGCCTGAGATCAGGAGGATTGTGGTTTGAGGCCAGCCTGGGCAAATAGTTTGAAAGACCCCATCTCCAAAACAATCAGAGCAAAATGATAGAGGTGTGTTGGAGGCAGTATAGTGCCTTGGCAAACATGAAGTCCTGAGTTCAAAACCCCAGTCCCACCCAAAAACAAACATTTATGTTTGGGGAATTAAAAATTAAATAACAATGAAATCTCACTTAAACTTGCCAGACTCACAAGTTTCAAAGAGAGATGACACTTAATATTGGTGAAGAAAGTGGTACTCCTACTTTGCTGGTAGAAATGGGAAGTTTAAACATTTAAAGAAAGTTATCCAACATGAAAAATTAATATACATTTGGCCCACCAATTCCACTTCTGGGAATCTAGCCCATACAAATAAAAGCACTGTTATGTGATGATATAGGATAAGAAATTATGCCCATAATGTCTTCTGCTGTCCTTGTCCTCTGCTTCTAAATTTTGTATTGTTTTGGTGATTGGTCTGGGTAGAATAAATAGAATAGAATATTAAGGCTGGAAGGGAGCTTTGAAATAATTTTGATCAGTGGTTTTCAAACTTTAATGTGTGTTAGTCACCCAAAGGGCTTATAAAACACAGATTGCCAGTCCTCCCCAAATTAATTCAGTAAGGTCTGAGGCACAGATCCAAGAATTCTCAGTCCTAACAAATCCCTATGATGCTGATGCAGCTGGTCTGGGGATCACATTCTGAGAACTACTGTTTAAACAAACTCATTCATATTACAGATAAGGAAGCCTGGAAATGTATTCATTTTGTCAAATCACATGTTCAAAATTGCAACTACTTGGTAGCAAGGGCAGAGCTTAGCACCCAGTTCTTTGGGTTCTTAATCTTTGGTGCTTGACTTATTCAATGAAATAAGAGAATGTGATATATACTTGCTATTTTAGGAAAGTAGTAGTGGGCTGCAGACAGATAAGCTTGTCTTTTATCCTCACTCACAGCATATCTTGCTCCACTGAGGAAAAAACTATTGCTATGTGAAAGGAACCAGATAAGGACTTGTGGTGTATGATTATCTTTGTACAGCAGTCATTATATGCCAACTGGTTCAAGTAGACCAGTGGTTCTCAACCCCTCTCAGTGTCCCCTTTTCATAACAGATACTTTACAATGATTTTACTGTCCTAAAATTAACTGCACAGATGATATGAACTTGGTTCATAGGTAACAAGGTTTCAAAAAAGTCAGTATAATGCCCTAACTATAATACAAAAGAGAAAAGAAGGACATGATAAAGAAATTTTGTATGCAACTGGTCAGGTACAATTACACTAGAAAACAAAAGGTAGTTGTCAGGTGCTTGCAACTATATTATCAATGTAAAAACTAAAAATGTAGACAGACGCAGTTGTTTGTTTTGGCAACTCATATCACAGGGACTATTGACATTGGTGATACAATTTTCTGAAATAGTAAAAACTCATAATTTAAAACATTACAGTATCTATCATTTTCTTAGTAATTGTATTTCAGTGTATATATACTAAACAGAGCAAAAGAACTTTGTGTTTTCAAATAAACAGACTTAGGTCCTAGGTTCAGTAACTTCAAATAGCCTTTCATTTATATGAATGTACAGTGAGACATTTGAAAGTTTTACAAGACACAGAGTAATTCTTGATTTTGTGGGACTGTCTCATACCTTGCAGGATATCTAGTATCTCTGGCATCTTCTCATTCAATGCCAGCTCTGCCCCCACAAATCTTTGTCACAACTTAAATAGTATACCCACACATTTACATAGTATCCCATCTTCTGCCTACCTGCATTGTTGAGTGGTAGTTGCCATCTTCTTTTGTAGGTTTCTCCTTGTGGGGCAGAATATGGAAAATTGTAAACTCATCCAGTCACTGTTCTGATTTTTTTCCCACTTTCCTAATTTTTGTTTTTTCTTTCCTGCCACTTATCTTCCAGGAGTTATGCAGACCCAGGTTGGAATTCCAGGAGGTGGACCAGTGCCCATAGAACGGGGACAAGGTAAATATTAATGTCTGATTAATGTGAACTGGACTTGGAAATGTTCCATATTTGTAGTGTCTGATATGTCAGCCACTAACCTCCAGTGGCTATTTAAATATTAAGTTAATTAAAATTACATTCATATTTACCTAATTTAAAACACATTTCCTTAGTGACAATAACCACATTCCAAATAGCCACATGTGGACATTTCTGTTGTCACAGAAATTTCTGTTGGATATTGCTGATCTAGATTTTCTACGTGGTGATTCAGAGTCTTGCTCTACAAGAATTAGCCAAACAAATGCATCCTTTGTTTCATAATAGTCTTAACAATTCCACTGACATGTTCTTTCTCTAGAAAATCTGTTGATTTAGTAAGAGATTTTAATAATGAGCATATAATGTGTGACTTATGTAGAAGGCAAGATTTAAACCGTAGAGCAAACAGGGAGTGTTTCATAGGTTTATAAAGCCTACTTAAGAAGTGTCTGTTGTACTGTGGCAGAAACACTGTATACAACAGCAACAGCCATTCTAAAATCTCCACACTATTTCTTTGTATTACTGGAGTTTGGAGGAAAAAGAAAATGCAGTACTTTAGTTGAAATCAAAGTTAGTCGAAGAGAAGGAACTGAGTGTATACTATATATACTCAAGCACTTTAATTTTCAAAAACAACCTTGTGAGTTAGGTGGCAGCACTACAGTTTTACAGGTAAAGAGATGGAAGCTTAGAGTTTTATGTTACTCAAGAGGCCAAGGTAAGTAAATACTAATGTCCGAGTATTGTAGCCTTGAATTGGTGCTGTCTTTCAACTAGTAAATGGCAGAGCTAAGATGGAAAAGTCTCTTGAATCCAAAAATCTATCCTCTTTTGTCACTCCACACTGGCTCTATTAACTTCCAAAACTGTTCTTCAATATATTTTAATCTTACTCATTGGATCTCTGTGATGGGAAAAGACTGCTTTAGACAAGCAAAGAGAAGCTTAAGTTTTTTCTTCTTAGCATATGGCCTATAAATAAAATCCATTTAAAAAGCAGAATATTAAGATACAGATCAATGTTGTACACTAACATTGGTATTTGAAGTGATAGAACTAATAATTTTTTCTTATTAGATGTCTAACAGCAGGACAAACATCTGACCAAATACCTCACCTTTTCTCTTAAGTTTTCCATGTTTTTGTGTTGTTGTGTGCTCCCACCCCTCCACTATCAATAGATGATGCATGTACTTGAAAGTATTTTTGCAGTAGGAAGAATATTTCTACCTCTCCCTAGGCCATCAATCAGTTAGCCAAACCTTAGCTGTTTGTATTTCCATGAGATATCTTCCTGCTGTAGTTACCTTCAACTTTCTGGTAAAAAATTAACAAAGAGAAATGACTCCCACTTTGAAGGTATTTCAACAACATCTTCATAAGAGAAAAAGCGAGATGAACTTTCTTTTATAATTTCCATCACTATATAGCAGGGGAAACAAGAATTTTCATTTTTGCCTAGATTGTCTTTTCTGAAATCCCTGCTTTTGCACATTTGTAATGGTGAAGAGAGACAGTGGGATATTTGAAAAGATACTTTTCTTTCCTACCACCTTGGTTTAATGTTGGTACCCTTGTTGTCTCATTAGTCTTTGTTGTCAGCTTGATGTTTCTTTATTATCAAACTGCTGTAGCACATTATTTCATGTGGACTGATGCTCCCTTTCCTCATCTAAAGTTCATTCACTACATTTCCCCATTTGATACATTTTTGATAGCAGAAATTTTTGTGCTTTAAAGTATGACCAAAGTAATTCTGCCCTACTTCTGTCATTCTCCAGATTCAGTGCAGTTTCTTTCATGTTTTTCTTCTGGAAATATATTTATCTTCTTTGCTTGACTAGAGGTTCAAGACCATCCTTTTTATATTTTGAGTTCTTTTTTTTTCCCTAATGGTATCATAGGAAGATTTAGGGGAAAATGTAGTAGTAGCAGAGTAGGAGAAAACCGGAAATTGCTCATTATTCCTGCCCAGGTAAACCCAGTGGCCCATGGATCTCTCTTTAGGAACTGTTTAGGTACCTAAAGGAGCTAGTGTAGCTTAGGAAGTTTTTGTACCCTGGGGTAACTCTTGGCATTTTAACATAAATGTGTAAATCTCTGTGTGTGTGTGTGTGTGTGTGTGTGTGTGTGTGCTATTTTAAGTGTCTACTTTCTCCTTTTGAACTTACTGCTCACCTAGGAACCCTACAGCACTCGCCCGTGGGACCCGCCGGGCCTGCATCACTTGAGCGAGTTCAAGGTACCCATTGTATCTACGGGTTTCCTTTTGCTTGTCGTGTTCAGGGTGGGACGTTGAGAGGAAAAGAGCTGCTTGGCAGTCATCCTCACGTTCAGAACCCAAAAGGGTAGTGTTTTTGGGTTTTTTGGTTTTTGTTTTTGTTTTTTTTAATTTTTTCCTGTTGAGGCCACAAGCCTAAGATTGACCTCTTCACACAGGGCAGAGAACATGGATGATATGGGCATCTGTCCGAGGCTGTACTCCCTCCCTACTGGTGTCAGGAGGCTTGGATGGAATAGCAGTCTGTAAGGAGACAGCAGGTTCTTGCAGAGCCATGGCAGTGTTCACATATGCCAAGACCCTACCTCTCTTTTGTGACTCTGGTCCTTGAACTAAGATTCATTATAAGGAAAACCAGGAGCATAAGTTTCTTCAGGTCACAGTGCTAGTCCATGGCAGGTTGCTCCCCAGTTTGCTCTTTATATAATTCCATCCATACCTCTGACATGGCACAGATTCTGCCTACACCCTGCTTCTGTTCTTGAGCTGCAAGAGGATTCTGCTGTGGTGAGGTTTCACCCACTCTAAGGTGTCTGAATTATGTTGTCAGTGGTATATAGAGTCATTTCTTGTTTCCTTATCTGTCTTTCACAGCAGTAACTCCCTGTTTGTTTCCCTGTCAGTGCCGATGCAAGACCCCAGAGCAGCTATGCAGAGGGGAGCCTTGCCTGCCAACGTCCCAACTCCTCGAGGTCTATTAGGAGATGCTCCGAATGACCCACGGGGAGGCACTTTACTTTCTGTAACTGGAGAGGTAGAGCCTAGGTAAGCACTGATATAGAAGGAAACAATTTTGAGAAATCAGAATTTTCCCTTGTTTTCAGAACAGTCTTCTGTATTAGTTGTAACTGTTTACCACAAGTATTTATGACCACTGTCCAAGACTAAAGACTTTTCCTAAGGCAGAACTATGTGGTTGAAAATGCGATTTTGACTAACTATGACTACTATATTTTCAGAAATTACAAATGCTAGTATTCATACCTAAACAAGGAAAACATACAGAAGTGGAACTATTAATAATAGCAATGATAATAGTAGTTGACATTAATGAGGATCATATCTCTGGCTGTTCTAAGTACTTTACTCAGACCATCTCATTAAATGTGTACAACCTGGGCTTTGGGTATAGCAGTGTTAAAGGACTTGCCTAGCATGCCCAAGGCCCTGGGTTCAATCTCCAGCCCCACAAAAAAATAAACAGATAAATCCACCTAACCATAGGAGATGAATATTATTAGTCTCATTTTACAGGTGAAGAAACTAAAGCATAGAGAAGTTAAACAGTTAGTAAATGATAGAGCCTAGATTTGAACCCATAGGATCTGAATCCATTAATTCCTCCCTAATTATGAGTGCCCCAACCAAATATGATTTATACTCTCTAGCTCTTCTTTCATCTGTTTGGTATTATTCTCTTGTTAGCATTTATTGACTGATGTTTGTGTCAGTTTGTTGTGTCTGTTACTTACTGACCTTCTGGTTGACACTTTATTTTTGTTATGTTCTGTTTTAAAATATAACATTTTTCTCTCTCTAGAGGTTACCTGGGACCACCTCATCAGGGTCCACCCATGCACCATGTTCCTGGCCATGAAGGCCGTGGCCCACCCCCACATGAGATGAGGGGAGGGCCATTAGCTGAGCCCAGACCTCTGATGGCAGAGCCAAGAGGACCCATGCTAGATCAGAGGGGTCCACCTTTGGATGGCAGAGGTAAGGGAAAACAACATCACAAGGCCAACTGGTAGTCACGGGTTGATTTAACAGCTCAGCTATTTGGGCTGGGATTGTAGCTTAGATAGTACAGCACCTGCCTAGTAAGCATGAGGCCCTGAGTTCAAACCCCAGTACCTCAAAAAAAAAAAAGAACTTAGCTATCCTCAGCTCAATTTTGGGATTAAGAATGTTAGGGCAGTAGGGTTGGCATGCAGCTTTAAGGTTTATGTACAAATCTGAGAAACTAGATACAAGTCTCAGGTAAGAAGAGGTGTAACTAGAGGAATAGAGTTTTATCTTTCTTGAATTATTCTTATAGTACAGGTGAGTAGTCACACAGTGGTTTTCTTATAACTTTATAGGTGGAAGAGATCCCCGAGGAATAGATGCACGAGGGTTGGAGGCAAGAGGACTAGATGCCAGAGGATTGGAGGCCCGTGCGATGGAAGCTCGTGCCATGGAGGCCCGTGCGATGGAAGCTCGTGCCATGGAGGCCCGTGTGATGGAAGTCCGAGGGATGGAGGCCAGAGGCATGGACACCAGGGGCCCAGTGCCTGGCCCTAGAGGACCTATGCCTGGTGGAATCCAAGGTCCCAGTCCAATGAACATGGGAGCAGTTGGTCCCCAGGGATCCAGACAAGTATGTATAATACTTCTGGCATCTATGTAAAAATCGATCTATTCAGGAATTGGTTATTGAGCCTGATTATCATTACCTTCTGACTTGAAGTATTTCTCAGCTTATTAGAAAGGGAAGACTAGGATCTTCCTTTATTTTATCCCTTCAGAGAGTGATTTTTCTGACCACCAGGATTATAATCCAAAAGAACAACCTTGTCCCACAACTTCAGTAGCTGTTTCATTCTAAGACGAACCCCTGAAAATTCAGAGGTCAGAGAATACTCTTCATTGGGGTTGTAACTAACTCTCAGCATCTCTATCAGAAGAATATGGGAATGGGTGATTTGAAAAACCTCCCTCAAATGATTGTCATGTACAACCCTGGCTAAAAATCACTAGGTTAGAGCATATGAGCAGTAGTGGTCACTTACATAATCTTAGGTTGACAGAAACCTGTGTTAAATTATTGTCATAATAGAACCTAAATGAACAGTGGAGTGCAAAAGGCAATTTACTAATTATCACCCTAAAATCTGTAGAATGGAAATCTTTGTCTTCTTTCTCTTCTTTATTTGGCCGTCTCCAGCTGTGTGTCTTTGATACTCTATGGTTTTCATCTCTTCCCTCTTCATCCCCATTGGATTGTGAAGAGGTGAACATGTGTCTCTTCCCTGAGGTTTTATTTATTGACACCTTCATTTTCCTCTGGCTCCTTTTTTCCTCCTTCTTTGTACTGTGTCCCTCTTTCATATGTTTCTGCCTTCCCATGGGGAAGAGAGAGAGGGAGGGAGGGGAAGAGAGTTCTCTCATTTTACAGGTTTGGAAACCAAAGCCCCAAAATTCAGGTGACTTGACCAAATTTACATAACTGAAAAATGGCAGAGCAAGGAATAGAGCCCACTCTTGTTTCTATTCTACTACTTTGTGCTGTTATGTGGACCTTTGTATGTATGTATATATGTGGGTGTCTTCCTATTCCTCTTTAGTTTGAAATAAAAATGTGGTCTTTTTTGGTATATAAATAATACAGGTATTACTGTTTTTCACATGGTAGCTTTCTAAAAAAACATATTATGGACCCTGAGTTTTACCGTGCCCTCTATATTCAGTAGCTTCATAATAAAAGTGTTTTTATGCATCCATTTGATAATCATTTATTGAGTACCTACTATGTACCAAACATACATTTAGGTGCTGGGGATATAGCTGTATGAACAGCAAAGTCCCTCCCTCCATGGATCTTATGCACTAGCTGGGGAGACAGATAATAAATAACTACATAATGTGCTATGTAATCCTCCTGACAATTTTGTGGAGAAGACATTGAAAGTACAGGCTGGAAAACCATTTCTGGGTAATGTCTTACTCCTTTTTCTCTGTTAGTGCTTGAATCCATTACTTTCAAATTAGGTTTTTGGTTTTTGTGGTGCTGGAGGTCTTTTACCAAGCTACACCCCAGGCCAGTGTAGTCTTGTCAATAGAGTCAGTGAAGCCAGTTGACCCAAAGCGGAGAAAATAGGAATTTTATCTTCACTTTAAAAAATTTTTAAAAATAAATGTATTCACTTACAAATAAATACATAATGTTACTCATCTACAAAGGATGTACGTGAAGAACCTCACTTGCTCTCCTGTTCTCTCATTTATGATAGATAATAGAGCCTATACATTATCACTTTCATTAGATTTTTATGCAGTTTTCCAACAAATATGAATATATATTTTTATTTTTACCCCTTTGCTATTCTGTACATTGTTTTTTAACTTAACGATATGTTCTTGATTTATCGTTTTAAGTTAGATTTTTAAAATTTAACTCCTATTCATCCAGTTAGAACCTTGTGGGTAAAAAAGGTTTGTTGTTACTAGGGTGATCATGTGATTTATCATCCAAAGACGTACACATTTGAGATTGAGAATACTGTTAATAATTTACTCTGAAGCAAAAGCATAAACTGGGACTGTCTTAGGCAAACCAAGATGTATGGTCATTCTTGCTAACACTTACCTGTCTAGAACAGGTACTTCCGAGAACTCAAAATGGCCATTATTGGGTGGTTATTTCACATCACAGTGCCTCAAGTTAGTATTAATAGGTACTAGTAAGTTCCAAAAAATTATACTCATAGGTTGCTTCAAGTGCATAATAGATCATTAAGGTTCAGACTGGTCCCGGGTTCAATATTTATAAAGAACAGAATACTGATAATATTTTAGCAATCTGAATAAAGATGTACTAATGCTTTATATACCTAATGTCTGGGGAAAGAGATAATGTGTGTAAGTGAATATTCTAGTTGATAGAAATACTCTTCCAAAATTTTAAGCTATTTTAATGAACAATTACAAGGTATACTTTATGCCTCTTAAGTAAGATACAAAAATATTGGAACCATTTTTGATTACTCAAAAGTCATCACTAGTAGATCCATTATTGTTTATGCTGTAAACATAGTTACCTCCTGTGTGCTTTCTGGTCTCCTTCACTATCAGGCTATCACCTGGCTCTTCACATTGCCGCCATGATACCTATTCCTAACAGGTGTTTATCTATATTTCTTTTATGCTTTGCTGTTTTTAATCTGCTGGGGAAGCAGGTAACAAGCTTGTTAATAGTTTATATTTAATAAAAGTACTGAAGCTCTGGGTGAATGCCTGAGTGTGAACATAACCTGGTGTAGGGCCCATCTCACTGTTATGCTAAATATTTAGAGGCCTTTTCCTTGAATTCTGGGAGTCTTCCAAAGGTACCCACTGAAGATCTTAAATATTAGTAAGTATGGTATAACTGCATTTTGTTGTTTTACTTAGGTCAGTAATATTTCTTGCTCTGTATTGAACAAAAATCATCTATTGCATATTCTCTATAGAAAGCTATAAAATAAAGCAAACGTTGGGCCTTCCCATCTCCTTTCTGCCTCTCTGACATGGTCATCTCTGCTTTGTGAGATAGGGCCCATTGCGACGAACTATGTCTGATTGAAGTAGAGGTAGGAGGTAGCCCTGTGAATGAAGCTTCCCCAGTGGACCAGCATACATTACTTCTAGAATCTGTTGGCTTTCATTTGTGTTTCTACTTAGCACTAGTTTCCAGATTCCTCTCAATTTTCCCTGTGCTTATTTGACCAAATTTTGCTTAATTTGATGGTCTCCAGTTGTGCTGTGTGATACTTGTTGATGATGCTGAAGCTGTTAACAGACAAATATGTCTAACTTGCTAGTTGATCTCTGGCTGAATAACTCTGCCTTCTGCCATTGCTAACAGTAGAGCTGATCTTCAGAGTTATTAATTTGCTTTTTAAATTCCTATACATATAAAGATCATAATTTTTACATTGCCATTTCAGGTTCCCTAGATGTCAGGAGTTCTGAAAAAAATGTCTTCTTTCTCTTTGTGTACATAGGTTCCAGTCATGCAGGGAGCAGGCATGCAAGGACCAAGCATGCAAGGTGGAAGCCAGCCTGGTGGCTTTAGTCCTGTGCAGAACCAAGTCACACCACAGGATCATGAAAAGGTAAGCAACACTGTCTGACTGCCTCCATATGCACAAATCTAGTCTTTTTGATTCCTCTTTTCACAGTTACCGTGTGGCGATCCTGGGTCTTCAAAGTCCCTTTGGAGGTGATGTTTACTCTAACTTAGAGCTCTTTTATAATCTCATTGCTTGAAAATTTGTGGATCTGGTCCTAAAGTTACTAAGCAGATATAAGTGGCAGCTTATTTTACATTTCAGACTCATCTACCAGTGGCAGGTTTTTTTGTGTGTCTACAGGCCAAATTGTCCTGAAAATCTAAGCCCCTTCCTCCCCTTTCTACCTTATCCCTAAAAACAATAGCAGGTTCCCCACAAGTATATTTTTTCTGTCTTTATATTTGGCTATTTGGGGGATTTCATGTGTGATGGAAAGGCTAAAGCTTGTTGGGAAAAAAACGACCTTCAAAACAGGATTAAAAACTGAAGAATCCCCGGGGTTTACAGACACCATCTTAGTCTGCAAGAACTTTGAGTTCACGAAGGTGTCTGATTTGAATCGGCTAATCTTAGGTATTTTAATTTATTCTTTTCTTCTCATTTGTACCCTTTCTCACCAGATTATTTTTTCCTTTTGGCCTTCTGTTGTTGTCGTGTGTGTGGAATCTCCTTTTTCCATTTTGCTTCATATCCCACTACAGTAGCTTTTGGACAGAAGCTGTTGGTATTTTTTGGTTTGTTTTGTCGCTGTCGTTGAAACTCACTACCTTCTTTTCCTCTGCACAGGCTGCTTTGATCATGCAGGTTCTTCAACTAACCGCAGACCAAATTGCCATGTTGCCTCCGGAGCAAAGGCAGAGTATACTAATCTTAAAGGAACAAATACAGAAATCCACTGGAGCACCTTAAAAGGTGAGCACATTTAATCCCACCTGGGCAGAACTAGCTCCTTGTGTATTTGGGGTATATGCTTTCAACCTTAACCCAGACTGTTTCTCTGATGTCTTTAGTATTCTTCACTAGACTCTTTACCCTTCAGTAGTGAGCACCTCTGGGGATAACATAAGGCTATAGAACATTTGTTTAGTTGTTGAATTGCTTATAATCTTTTTAACCATTCCTGATGGCAAAGGTAATACATAATCAGTTTAACTAAATTAATCAGCTACAGGAATGTAGATAGTTAAAAATAAATATCCCTACTTCCACAATCTTATTTTCTAAAAAAAATTTCTCCACATAGTTTGGTGTGTATTCTTCCAGAATCAGTTGTATTATCCTCTTGTGAACTGTCCCATCAAAGTGGACAAAATACAAAGCATTCCAATAAAGTGTATAAATATTTTGGCTTCTAGTATTTGTTTTCTAATGAATATTTTGATGATAAACTATTACAGTACCTTTAAGGTAGTAAATGTTCACCGTCATCATCGGTTTCTGTACATCTTGGAGATTGCTGTACGCTACCACCCTTATTTATTTTGATTCAGTTAAACTGCCTCACAAATAATCATGTCACCTAACTTGATACACAAGTATTGTTTCTTTTGAAAATTTTTCCCCAACTGATCTTTGTATTTCATAAATAATTATATTTTCCAACAGTAGTTTAAAATTCACATTATCTCAATATCTGATGGAGTATCTCCTTTTTACTTTTTACTCTTCCATATTATAATTCCCATTTATATGTTATCCCATAAAAATGAACTCATTTGTAGTAATTAGCAATCTTACTAAGTATATTATAGTTTAATCCACATGTGTAATCTCTTTTAAACATCCAGGCTGTAAATATGAATTGTATCTGTATTTAGGCTTTAAATGACTGAACTATAATTAGAAGATATCATAGATGAATGGCTATTTAGACTTTCGACCAGCACTTTAACTTTTTTTCCACATATCCCGAGCATTCTATTTTCTTCAGTAAATACATTCATAGGACTTTACTTTTCCTAATTTACTTATATCAGAGAAGGCATTCTCTGCAATATGAGAAACTTACGGTTTTTGGATACTGAAGGTAGGAAATACTTCCAAAAGTTCTTGTTTACATCTCATTTAAAGTGCACATTAATCATGGGGCAGGGTTCTTCTTTGTTTTTACCTTTTGAAATAATCATGGATCCACAGGAAGTTGGAAAAATAGTACAAAGAGCCTCATATACCCTTCACCCAGCTTCACCCAATGATGATAAGATGTTAATCTTAGCTTTTTGCTTTGTAGTACCAAACCAAGAAATGGTCATTGGTACATTATTGTGGACTAGACTACAAACCTTATTTAGTTTTTGCCATTTTTAACCCACAATAATTTATGTCTGTGTATAAAACTACAACTGTGGTTTTATGTGGGCAAGATTTTACTGTTTCTACTGGTATTTGCATATACTCTGCCATCACTGACAAATTACCATTACCATTAGAGATAAGTGTTTTTCAACCAGGAGAAATTTTTCCTCTTAAGAAGCATTTAACGATTTCTAGAGACATTTTTGGTTGTAACAACTTTAGGGAGTTTCCACTGGCATTCATTAAATAGAGATCAGAGGTACTCTTGAACATCCCATAATGCACAGGACATCTTCCTCACTTCCTGATATCAAAGAGTGCTCTGGCTCAAAAATGTCACTGTAATGCTGAGGTTGGGCAGTCCTACCATAAAGGATGATTGCTTTGGGGAGATGGAAGGCAGAAGGCAGACACCTAGAAATTCTGTCCTGAAAATTTGATCTTCTGCACATTCTGCCTCTCTTTGCCTGTTTTGGGTATTGTTTTTTTCTGATACTTAGGGAAAAGAACTTTGTCTTCATTTCTAATGGCTTTCTCCCAACTTTTGTTACAGGTTTTCAAAAATGCCTGGCAGCAAATCTGGAAATTAATTCCATAACTTTATTGAAATGTTGAAAAAAGGTGACTTCTGCATCCTAACCCCTGAATGACTCACTTTGGTGCCAGGTGGAGGAGTCCAATCACCGTCTCTCAGAACAAAACCAGTTCATTTTGTTGTCTTAGTTTGTACATTTTCTGTGACTTGAAATAAACTTTGAACACAATTTTAGTATACTGCAAATTGATATATATGACCTTTTTGCTTTTAAAAAGCTAAACACCAAGGGTGAAACCTTAGATATGTTTTCTACCCTTACTGCAGCATTATACTTTAATGTTATATCGCCATAGTTCTGTTTTTACTTTAGGTCAATCGTTTATTCTTGATATTTGAGAATTTCTCAGAAGCAATGTTTTCAGGAACTTAGTTTTTGTTGAATTTGCTTCCAGCAAGATAATAAGGCTTTGCACTTTGAAAACTTTCTAGATTTTCTGAGTCTTCTGGGAGAAAATATTACATGCTTGGAGCTATCAGATGGTCAGAAGGCCAGCAGGGCAAATAGCATACCACAGCAGTGTATTTAGTTTAGGAAAACCCAGTTGTCAAAATGCCTTTTTTTTTTTGTCAGTAGCAGGTCTGAATATACATACTTCAGAGTTTAGACAGTGACTGTGGCGGCACTTGGCTTGAGTGTGTGTCAACAACACAAGAGACTGTTGACATTTACTTGTCTGTTGTAAAGCTCTTCAGACTAGGTAGTCAACACTAAAAGTTTAAAAAGCCACTAGTTTTTCACATGTTCAGAATAAATTAAAAACTGAAAAATCACATGAACGAAATACATTGCATCCTATCTTCCAGGAAATCACTAACCTTGTAGTCCTACCCTATAACTGAATTTATTCTGGTAACTTAAAACAGAAAAATCCTAAAACTGTTTACATTCTTCTCAGTTCTTGTAAGAGGACCAAATGTGGACCACAAGCAGTCGGATTGCCCATTAGGTCTGCCTGCTTCCTTGGAAGTAGGTTTGAATGTTAATTAGTGTTACTGACTAGCTCTAGCCTATGGGTCTCCCTGCCTTGTATTTTCTCTGTCATAGTGGCATTAAGGAGGAACATGGTTCTTCTCCATCAGGCTAACCTCGGTAGGTTAAGAGTTGCCTTAATAGTTAATAAAGTTCTACTAGAACTACTTTTGAGCCTATTTATATTCTCAGAATCCTAGGATTATGGTCAGGTGAATTAAAACCCTGGCATAGGGTTAGAGAATGTATATAGCATATTGCTTATATATTAAGAAAAGAATGCAAAGATAATCAACTTCTTGAGAAACATTAAAATTGGGGGATTTTCTACTCCAGCACATAAACAATTACAAGAATTTGCTGAATATTTCATACTACAACCTAACATCAAAAACTCAAAACAGCTGAGATTTCTGGGCATCTTTCTCATCCCCAATTTAGTGTGAATACTAATTGTGCATAGGGTTTATTCTCATTACCTCTTCTGCCTTCGTGAGTATTCAACAATTGATGTGTTGATTATGGCAACCATCATACCATGAAGATCACTGAAGATGGAATGATTTGGTAAGCAGTTGCCTAATAGGAACCGTATGTTAAAGGTTCCGTAGCACATTTTCCCAAATCCTTATTAAATTTGATTTAGATAACTGAAATCCAATGAACAAATTGGTAATGGCATCCCAGTATAGCCCTACAGAAACACTCATGAGTTTTTTTACTTGTGAAATAACACAGCTACCCCAAGTTCATGACCTGCATTTATTATGTCCAGACTAGTGACTGAAAAAAAAAAGAGATCGCCCCAATCCATCAAGCCATAGCAGTTCCTGAATAATTGTATACAACCATTTGTTCATTTATGGTAGAAAAATAGCTGCTCTAGTGCTAATTCAGTAGAAACAAATCTATTATGAGCTGAATTAGCACAATGAAGTCAGGGGGAGGGGTTCCCCCTCTTGAGAGCCTGAGGCTTCTTTCCTCCTAATGATTCACGGTGACTACTAATATTCCTGAGCTAGTTGGTTATTGTACCATAAGCTGGGTAGAAGGAAGAAATAAATATTTTATAGGAGAAAGAAGCATTTTGCTTATGTCCTTAGACAAATGATTCCTTAGTGAATAGATAGGAGCCAAAAGTCTTAAATATCATAGATGCCTTAACATTTTTATACCAAACATTAATAAACTCCCTAATAAAACTGGTAATGAAGAGCTTCTATTGATTAAGTCAGCCCATGATGGGAATCAAACTTTCCCAATTTCCAACAGAACAATACAAGATGATAATAAGCTAACTTTTCAATTATAATTAAAATTAGTATGCTTTTTAAGGTTTCCCTTCTCAAATAGCCCAAAAAAGTAACAAAAGGAGAAAAAAGAAAATCCTTCATTTTTAACAAGCAAAAATAAGTAAAGCATAAGTTGATGTTCACACTGGATAAGATCATGTTTAACCAGAATGTGCCTAGTTGGTGTTATATGGGGATGGGGTTCTTGGTAATCTTATGTTCATTGTTTATTATTTGTCATTGATTCAATAAATTTATTTTCAAAGTTACTCTACTTACAAATCTTCTGTGAAGGCACGAGGGCGGGAAGATTATGAACCAAAGTCCAGGAAATGGTAATACTTGCAATGAATAGTCAGTCACCTGAGGTTAAATTGTGTGTCAGCCATCAAAGTTCTGCTATCAAGCTCTACTGCAGTCATGGCTTTCTAGATGTCGTTTTCTTCTTTTTGGCAGTACTGGGATTTGAACTCAGGGCCTCACACTAGGGCAAGTGCTCTACCACTTGGGCCATGCCTCCAGCCCAGCAGTCATGACTTTCCAGAAGGACTTGCAATTGTTTTCCCAAAAAAGGATCCACGGGCTTTGCAGTTTTAACTTCTGAAGTTCTTAGGTTGAAGCTCAAGTATACAATGAAGTTGAATGCAGTGGAAAAAAAATTCAGGGAGTCAAGGCTTGAGAGGCACAATGTTATCCTAAAGTGGCTGCCCAAACCTGGCAGACCAAGTAAGTTGTTGAAGATACAAAGGAGAGACAAAATGCCAACTGTGCTTATTTCTGTAATTCAGAAATTTTCTTTGTTGAAGTAAAATTGAACTTTCCTAGGATCCAGACTGGAGTATCGGTGACAGCATTTACGCAGGCTTTTTGCCAAAGTCCGAGGACCACATAAGAAAACCCCCACCACAGACCTGTAGGAATAGAACAATATAGGCCTCAATGCAGCAAAGACTGCCAATGTTAGTGAAAATGGGGAAAAACTGTCTCTGCTAGGCCTCTGCTACTCCCAACACATTTAACAATAATTCAGTTATTGACTCCTGTGTTCTTCATGGTAGCTTTTTTTTAACCTTTTCTGTTTGCAAATGCTAAATATCCTCTCAGCCTTTATTGTTTTCAGCACTCATCCTTACCCATTTTTTTGAGAGCACAGAAAAAAGAAATGTAATACAATATACAGTGGTTAAGTATTGGGCTCTGGAGCCAGTTGGTTCAAACCAACTCTGACATCCCACTTGCATGACTTTATGCAAGTTTCCTAATTTCTCTGTTAGAGCTTTCACTTTCATAAGATGGAGATGAAAATAGCATCTACCTCACAGGGTTGTTTTGAAAATTAAATGAAATCAAGACAATTAGAAAAGTGCCTGGCACACAGCAAGTGCATATGTTAGCTACCATTATAGTCATCCTCTGGATTTATCCCCCACCTCAGAATTTCCCATAGTGAAGAGGTGATGATGTTCCTGCCAAAGCTAACTTTTCTTATACTCTGGATTTCCCCCCTCTCCCACCTTCCCTCTCTTTTTGAATCTAATTATGGTGTAATTCACATACTGTAAGACTGACCCTTTTGAAATGTACAGTTAATGCTTTTTACTATGACCACCAAACTCCTCTCTCTCTCTCAGCTTCAACTATGTTCAATTCAAACAATATGGTCAGCATAATTTCTTCTGCTTATATGCTGCTTTACAATTTAAATAGCATTTTTCATATATTGTCTCACTCAGCCTTCACAATAATCCTGCAAGTGAGTAGAACAGGCATTTACTAATGTAACCCCCATTTTACGGATCAGAAATCTGAAGGTTTTCTAGCTGTGGGTCCCAGAATTGAAAAGTGTCAAAACTAGCATTAGGAAACAGGATGGTGTAGAATCTGAGTCAGTATGTGCACTCACCACTGTCTACATGATAAAAAGATCACTCCTGTGTCCTTAGACTCCTCCCTCAGGTGCCATGAAGTGTGTCATTCTACTTTGAATGATTATATGCATCTCTTATTCAATTGTGTGCTCCTTGAGGGCAAGAACCATATCCTATTTCTCTTTCACCCTCCAAAGCTTCTACAAATTGAGTGCTGAGCTTACAGAAGGTAACCAGTAGTGTTTGTGAAACTGAATTGATTTTCATCTACCAACATGTTCAGGGAGTTTACCTTGATTGGCTTTATTCCTTCCCATTGGAATGGCTAGCTTCATAGCACCTGGTTTTTCTATATGTTCTAACATCTCTCGGAATCCTCCAGAAAGACTGAGCTCAGTTGGTCAACAAACTGGATGGTACACCCCAAGCCCTTGTTACTTTATGTAAAGCCACTGAAACACCCCCCTCCAATGCATTTGAATTGATCCAGTTCTTTGTTTTGTTTGGTAGTGTCTCTTCACCTCACTATTTGAATGGAAGTTTACAGGGGCAGGCAGCTAACATCTTCTCATCAATTACAAGATCATAACCCTTATTATGAAATTTCCTCAGTTTTAAACAAGAATGTAAGGACATTGCAAATAGTTTCTGCTCCAAAGATCTTTTCCCAAGTGTGTTCAGCATACTGTAATGCCTTCCCTGAACTCTAACTCTGCAAACTCAACTAACTAGAGAAGAATATACTTACTTGGGGTGGGCAGTAGCTATTGTAGAAAACTCATTGTCCCACATTGGTCTCCCAAAGAAGGTTTTCTGTTTCAGACCTGTCAGGATGTCAGTGGCCTTGTCAAAATTTAATGCTGCATGACCAGCCTGAAGTCAGAGAAATATGAAGTTAGAAAAAGTAGGTCCAGATAGCTGGCCTCTTCAGCTACTTCAAACTTGGGCATGAGGGGGCAGGGGGGAGAAATGAACCAAGCCTTGTATGCACATATGAATAATAAAAGAAAAATGAAAAAAAAAAAAAAAACTTGGGCATGAGGTTGAAGGCAGGTAGGAAATCATAAGAAGTATTTCCAGTCAGCATGCATTATCTTTTGTCTGACAGTCCTTTGCATTTAATATGGGAATTAGTGTTTTGTTTGAACTCACAATGTTGTTATCCCATCCAGTGAGGAAGAGACGGTAGTTTAAGAAACCCACTTTGCCTAATTCCTCCATCTCTTGTTCCAGGGAAGCCAATAGGTCATTGAACCAGGCAAAGGCGCCCGTCTCCCTGCAGATCCAGTAGAAATAGATCTGGAATCAGCAAAAGAGACCACAAGTGCCCTTTACAATGTAGACTCGGTGATGGTGTTGATCAAGTCTAAGAGACCCGACAAATCATGTTCACAGAATGGAAGACTTTAGGCTACGTGAATGTCAAGAGTTCTGACAATTTTCCTTATGGAAAGAATACTTCAAGGTCATCTTTGTTTCAGAATGATTTTAAAGTACATGTTGAAAAGAAGACCCTGCTCTTATGGTGAATGAGTAGAAGCAGATGCCGTAGCAAAGAGAAGCAATCACTCACTCTTCTTTTTTTAGTAGAAGATTTGGAGTTAAAAAATTCATAGGCCTGAAAAAGTATTCTCTAAAAGATTAGGAAAATCTTTGGCAAGCAGAAATAGCTTTGATTGGAAGATTAGAGCCACATGTGAATGAGAGAAAACCCACAGGGACTGGGCAGTCTGTATCTCTTTTACAGTCTCTGCATTGGCTCCACCTCTTTCAAGCCACATACCACTTCAGCTTCCAACCAAGCTACATATAACATTCTGTTTACATTTTTTTTGGTGGCACTGGAGTTTGAACTCAGGGCCTCATGCTTGCTAGGCAGGCATTCTTACCACCTGAGCCACTCTGCCAGCTCTTTTTTTGGGTAAGTGATGCAATTTTTCAAGATAGAGTCTCATGAATTATTTGCCTGGGGCTGGCTTTGAACCACAATCCTCTTGATCTCTGCCTCCTGAGTAGCTAGGATTACAAGTGTGAGCCACCGGTGCCCAACTTTCTGTTTACATTTTAAAATAGGTTTTTGCCAGGTGCAGTGGCTGATGCCTGGAAATCTAGCTACTCAGAAGAATCTCACTTCCAAGCCAGCCCTGGCAAAAAAGTTCACAAGACCCTATCTCAATCAATAAAAGCTGGGCACGACGGTGTGCCTGCATCCCAGCTGAGTGGGAAGCATAAATAGAAGGATTGTGACCCAAGCCTGCCAGGCATAATCCTGAGCCCTCATGGAAAAATATCTGAAACAAAAGGCTAGAGGTGTGGCTCAGGTGGTAGAGTGCCTGCCTAGCAAGTGCAAAGCCTTGCACCACCCCCCGCCAAAAAATAGGTTTCCTTATTCAGCGTAATGTAAATGCCCAGAGCAGTCACTATGATCCTTAATCTTAGACAGGTGCAAAACTGATTTATTGATCTCTGGATTCATCCAGTCATTCCAAATGTTATCCAGGTAATTATGGAAGGACCATAGTTTGGTAGTGGGGCTGAGAACCTCTGAGCTTGCAGATAGTCTTCAGTAGACATGGTGTGGGTCTCTGCACTGCCACCTATTCTCCTAGGGTTCTATTCAGTCCATTGCAAACTTGGTGTTGTCTATCATGATGAGCACAGTGTCACTGAAGCCCTCGGCTATTCTGCAAGCCACCTTTCCTGTGACCTGGTTTGGACGGGCATCCTTTCCTCATTCATTAACTTGATAATAATCAGCAATAATATACCTAATATCTTTGCACTATTAACCAATCAAGGTGAAGGCCACCTCCAGCATGGGCTTCCTGGCAAGCATGAGGCAGAAGAGAGGGATACGGTCCTAGAGGAGGGTTTGGGGAGCACCTGGGCCACCCAAAGGCAGGTGTTCCTTGTGCAGTTTGTTTCTCAACTACCAGCAGCCCATTCACAGCTCAGTATGGGTACCTGGTGCTGTGCAGCAGCATCTTGTAGTCGGCCTGGTGGTCAGTTTCAGAATCCCAGGCATGCTGAGCTTGGGCTGGCCCCGCAGGTCTTGGTGGCTGTGTGGTGAGTGGTGACATCTGGTGTGGCCCTGGGTTGGTGGCCCTACAGGCTGGCTGGCTTATGCCCCTCAGAAGCCACTGTAGGACTCAGCTTGCACTTCTCAGTCACCCATTGTGCCAATCAGTAAGTCTTATAACCCCAAAGAGAGTTTACTCCCTGTGGAGGCACTAGCCCATCTAGGCCCAGGCCAGATGAAAACTGATAGCAGAAGTGTACCTTTTGTGTTTTGAGGTTGTGGTCTTCACGCTGGAATTTGTACCAAATGGATTTCAAGATGGAAGCAAAGGGTGTGACCCCAATTCCTGCTCCAATAAGCACAGCCACTTCATACTGGAAAACATCCTCACTGACTGTGCCAAAGGGTCCATCCACCTTTATCCTAACATAAGACAGAAGATAATGGACAAGTGAAGTCTCTTCTCAACCTCAACCTCAACCATCCTCCCAGAAACAGAGCTGTTCCCTCAGCTGACCTCTGCCTGCTTATTTTAATCAGAAGATTCTATCTAACAGACATGAGCTTCAAAAAGAAACTGTTCTCTCTTTTCTGTTAATCTGCTTCATGATCTGAATCTCTACCTGGGCATTGGTGAATGTTGTTGTTCAAAGACCTTTATGAGATTTTCTGTCCAGTCCCCTGCTACTCGGACATGAATGGAAAAGAAATCTTCCTCTGGAGCAGAAGTCAGAGTAAAGGGATGCCACTCCAAAAGAGAGATTGAGGGACAATTAACAAAGATGTACTGTCCCACTTCCATACTAAAGCCATGCTTGTTCAGCTGCAGTTCCAAAACTTTGGATGGGTGCTTGACAACCTGTGAATGAAGCACACATGAGGCATTAAAAATAAAGAGTAAGTCAACTATGATATATTTGTTATATTGTAAGAACTTTTGTAAATGTCACAGTGTACCCCCAGCACAACAATAATTTAAAAAATAATAAAAAGAGTAAAGCTAGAGGGCTGGTAACAGTGGTAAACTGTGAGGACAAGTCCTTTCTAAAGGGGGCAGTAGCTGCTTAGCTCCAATGACTATAATGTAGAACTGAGATTCAGTGTTAACAGGTTTTCTGATTTTTCAAGAGAAGCAAAAAAATGCCTTTTTTTGAGTGGGGGGCAGTGTCAAGGATTGGACTCAGAGCCTCAAGAGCTCTACCACTTGAACCATGCCCCAGTTCTTCTTCTTTTTGGTTACTTTTCAGATAGGATCTTGAGCTAACTTTGCTTCTGCTAGCCTCAGACCACAGTCCTCCTACTTCTGCCTCCCAGGTGACTGGGACTACAGGCACGTACCACCATGCCCAGAAAGAAATGCGCTTATTTTATGTGAAAGCTTCCATCCAGATTTTAAAATACTGGCAGCCAGTTCTATGTTGTTTGGGGGTTTTTTCCAGTTTGTTTTTTGTTGTTGTTATTGTTTTGCAGTGCAGGGAAACAATCCAAGGGTCTTGCATGTACTAGGTAAGCACTGTACCACTGAGTTATATCCCCAAGCCCCAGTTCAACTTTTTAAACAAACATTGTGTAAGCAAAACAAAACATATCTTTGAGCTAGATCTGACTCGGGTAACCTTCTGCATCCTTCAATATAAACCCATCCTGGTGGTTTCTGCCAAACCCTTCTTTCTCACAGTTCTGTCCAGCACTGGAAAAACTGAGGTATGATGCCCACCACTAAGTTTCTTTTTATTCCCTTTGGGGTGACATTATGCCAATTTAGTTCTATACTCAGGTAGACCATAATTCTTATCACAGCAAGAGGAAAGTGGACATTTCTTTACCTTGGTAATCACAACCTTCTGCTGGGAGCGACAAAACCGAAGGATTCTTTCAAAGATATATAGAATGAAGGGTGCAAGGATCCACTTCCAAGACTGCAAAGACAGAGTAAAGAATGAGGCTCACTGTTAATCTGTCATTCAGGACTTACTTGTACAGCAGTTCATTTCTTCATTCAATAAATATTTATCACATTCTCTGATGCACATCATTATCAAGCTACTGATTTCCACAAATCTTATAAAAGAGACCATTCCCTGAAAATTTACATGGCCAGGAATAAAAAAGACAGAAAAAAAGTACATGGCAATATATATGTATATTCTTAAAGTATATATAAAGTTTAATTTTTAAAATTTAAGGACAATTTGTCCACTCCAAAAAACAAATAGAGAAAGTAAATGTGAAATAAAAGCAGATGATCAAAAACAAAACTAACAAAAAAAGGAAAAGTACATGACTGATGCTATTGGTAACAATATATAAAACTTGATACTCGTCCATCATCCCATTTCTAAATTAGCATTTACTAATACATTTTTAACTTGTCTACATTTTAAAGAAAACTTTCTATCCCTGGGATCTTCTCAAGGCAGCAAGTTGCTTCTATATGCACAAGAGCTACTAAAATATATTTCCTAGCAATTCTAAGTAATGTCCTTTCTTGCATAATTGCTCAAGTGTGACACACTGGAATATGTGGAATGAGGTTTTTTATGCTACTGCAGGCAAATAAGTTCTTTGGATATGTCTGAGAAGGCAGGAAGGAGCAGAGATGGAAATAGTGTAACTGAGAGTGGGTATTATACCATTTGATGCTATTTCTTATTTGGAAAAAGTCCCCAGGTAGATTCAGAATACTTGAAAAATATACTTAGGAAGTGGGTAATAACAATGTGGAAAATAATGGCCTCAGAAATATTCAAAATAACAATTGGGGATGTGGCTCAATGGTAGAGTATTTGCACAAAGCCTGGGTTTGATACCCAGAATCACAAAACAATAAAATAAAATACATTTTAGTCTTTTCTTTTGAAGGGAGTACTGGGAATTGAACCAGGGTCTTGTGCATGCTAGACAAACACTTAGCTAATAAGCTTAGATATGTCCCTATCTTTAAGTCCTTTTTTTCCTACTAATCAGATAGTACAGAAGGTCTCTGATTATAATCTCACAACTTCCACTGGCTTTAGAGATGAAATATGTTATTAACATATGTCAGGCAATTTCAAAAGGTAATATCAAAACTTACCATTTTTGGTGGTGGGCATTGAACCCAGGTCCTTTCACATGCTAAGCACTCACTCTACCACTGAACTGCAAATTACTTTTTAAACGGGTAATACACATATAGTCATGCACTGCATAACAGTGTTTTCCGGTCAACAATAACCACATGTAGGACAATGGTCCCATAAAAAAATATCACCTAGTGGCTGGACATGATGGCACACATCTTGATCCCAACTACTCAGGAGACAGATCAAGAGGATCACGGTTTAAGCCCAGTGCAGTGTACATGCCTGTAGACACAGCTAGGTGGGAAAGCATAGGTAGGAGGAACATGGTCTGAGGCCAGTCCCAGGAAACAAGCTAACACCCTACATGAAAAATAACTAAAGTAAAAAAGGATTGGGGTATAGCTCAAGTGGTAGAGTGCCTGCCTAGCAAGCACTAGGCCCCAAGTTCAACCTCTGCAAAAGAATATATCGGTGATGTCCTAGCCATCCTATTTTGTGAAATTATACTCTGTGATGTTTGCACAATGGTAAAATCCTCTAATGATGCATTTCTCAAAAATATGCCCATTGTTAGTGACATATGAATTATGCACTATAAAATTCCCAAGTACAAAAAACTGTACAGTGAAAAATAAATCTCCCTTCTGGCCAGGCATTGGTGGCTCACACCTATAATCCTAGCTACTCAGGAGGCAGAGATCAGGAGGATCATGGTTTGAAGCCAGTCCAGGCAAATAGTTTGCAAGACCCTAGCAAACCATCACAAAAAAAAAGGGCTGGTGGAGTGGCTCAAGGTGTAGGCCTTGAGTTCAAACCCCAATACCAAAAAAAAAAATCTCCCTTCTGTGCCTCAGCTCCAAGAATCATGTTCGTATTTTGTGAATCTTCCTGGAAAATATACACTTAAGTGATCTTTTTCACGCAAGTGATAACAGACCATACATACTACCCTGCCCTTTTATATAGCATCTTGGAAACTAGTTCCTATTGGTTCCTATAGAGTTGCCTCTTTCTTTTTATTGGCCGTTGAGTATTCCATTGTGTGAATTATGTCCTATAATTTAACAAGTCCCCTATTGCTGGACACTTGTTTCCAATATTTTGTTCTGTCAAGTAATGATGCAATGAACAACCTAATACATGTAGTTAAACATATATACAAGTAAAATTTAAAATTTGGTGGATACTGCCAAATCACTCTCGATAAGCAGTTGTAAAGGTTTATGTTCTCACCAGCAATGCCTAAGAGTATTTTCCAACAATCTTACCAGTGTAGTATGTTAGCAAGCTTTTCTTTTTTTTTTTTTGGACATACTGGGGTTTAAACTCGGGGTCTTATGCTTGCTAGGGAAGCACTTTATCTCTTGTGCCACACCTCCTCCAGCTGTTAGCAAGCTTTTTGATCTTTACAAATCTGTTAGGTTTTGGGGGCATGTTGTTTGTTTGTTTGGTGGTGGTATTGGAGTTTGGACTCAGGGCCTAGTGCTTGTTAGGCAGAAGCTCTACTGCTTGAGCTATACCCTCAGCCCTTTTTTCTTTTCTTTTTTTCTCTTTCTTTTTTTTTCTTTCTCTCTCTCTTTTCTTCCTTCCTTCCTTCCTTTCTTCACTTCCTTCTTTCCTTCTTTCTTCCTTTCTTTTCTTTGGTGCTGGGAATTGAACTCAGGGCCTTGTGCTTGCTAGACAGGTCTTCTACCACTTGAGCCATGCCCCCAGCCTTTGCTTTAGTTATTTTTAGAACAGCATCTCATGATTATGCCCAGGCAAGACTGGACCATGATTCTCCCGATCTCTGCCTCCTGAGTACCTAGGATAAGTATTTCTTGCAGTTTTATTTTGCAAGTCTTCTAATATTATGAATAACAATAATTATAATTTCATATATTTAAGATCTCTATTCCTGTGATTATTGTGTTCATATCTCCTACCTTCTTTATATCAGACTGTTAGGCTTTGTCTTATTGATCGCTATAATTTGTGTATTAGGAAATTAGTCCATGGTCTGTGAGCTATAAATATTTTTTCTACTTAATCATTTGTCATCTGCTTTAATTTCTGGTTTTTGCCATGCAAAAGTATTATCCTTTCTTTTTGGCTTCAAGGTTGCTTATCTTATTTAGAAATATCTTTCCCCTATTCCAGTATTAGAACAAAATTACCACATGGTCTTAGGATGGTTTTATGATTTTCCCATTTATTTTTTAATTAATATGTGTTAGTTATACAAAATAATGAGTTTAATTAAGATATTTTCATACATGAATATAATGTACTTTGATCAGATTCACCCCCTTTACCTTTTTTTAGACTTAAATCTTTGCTGTATGCATCCTTCATCCATATTTTAATATAAAGTATAGAATGATGATACAACTTTTTTTCTAGATAATTATCTTATTGTCCTAAAAAATATCAACGTGAATTTTCCCCACTGAATTGAAATGCCAACTTCAGGGAACATTTTGCTTTAAATAATTTTTTCTTTGTAGATGAAAGCTAAACTGTTACTCATAACCTTGCATATAATATAGACTTTAATCACTCTCATAGTACTTTGAGTCACCTGAAAAGTCAACCTTCCCCTTCCTTTTATTCCTCAATATAACCTATTTTATGAGCAAGCAAAGATAAACCGTACATGATAATTACCCTGGCACACCTTGAGTCCTCTAGAACTGTTTCTTTCCTTTTCCTTTTCTCCTTCTTTCCCTTCCCTCCCTCTCTCCCTTTATCTCTCCCTCTCTTTCTTCCTTCATTCCTTCCTCTCCCTCCCTGCCTCCCCTCCTTCCTTCCTCCTTCTTTCAACAAGGTCTTGCCATGTAGCCCAGGTTAGCCTCGAACTCATGACTCTCCTGCCCCAGCCTCATGAGTTCTGAGATTACAGGCATGAACCACCACACCTGACTAGAACTCAGGTTCTTAACCATGCACTAACATTAATTTCCAAAGAAACATGTTATAACACCAAAGAAAGCCCACTTCAAGAATGCTCTTTTCCCCTGTGAAAATTTCTCTGGGATTTCACAGCTGAGCTTTGGGATAACTGTAACAAGCACCTGTCTTTTTCTATAGCATTCTTACCTCAGCAGGGTTCCCCTCAAATTGAGGACGCCTGCAGCCAGAATCATTGTTATCCCACTTCTGAAAAGACTCTGCACACTTCTGGGGATGACTCTCATGCATGCTCTTCTCTGTTTGACCCCGGACAATTCCCCTGAAACACACAAAGAAAGACAGTTTGAGATGATGAATTATGCAAGGTTGGGGGGTGGGACATGAGAACAAGGGCCTGAAGATCTTACCCAATGCCATGAAGCACTAAGCAGAGGATATAGACGAAAAAGAGGTGGTGTGTATACCAGAAGACCTCAAAATAATTCCTCCGGATAAACTCTGTAGCTGAAGTTACTATGAGAATCAAGGCTAATGTGATGATCACTCCAGTGAGACCAGCAATGGTCGTGAATGTTACATACATCACTGTCTGTGAAAGAAGAAATGTCAGCCTGACACAATGTCTACCAAGGTCATATCTACCACGACCTTTCTGCTCAAGAAGAGCTCCTAGATGCTTTGCCATTGAATCAACTCACCATGTCTGGGGATTGTATGGGATTTAGCCAAGAACCCCCTTCTTTCTCATGATGAGATAGGCTGGAGAGAGCGGAGGCAAGAGATCCAGCAGGGGCCTGTTGGCTTCTACTGTAGTTTTCAAAGTTAAACAGGTGTGCAATGACATGAATAGCTAAATGGAAAGACATAAAGCAAACAGATGTCTCAAAAACATGGCAGACATGACCCATTAGAATAGTGCATAGCAGAATGCTGAGTCAACAGGCAGTGGTCAACAATACAGAGAGGTCCACAATCTTTTTATATCCGCTCAGTTCCCAAAGGAATACAATGAAAGCTCCATGAAATATAGGTCTTAACAGTGCCTGACAAATACTTCCAGGCTATAAATAAATAGTTTTGAATGTTTATATGCATGGGTAAATGAAACTAGATTCCAAATGCCCTGGAGTCCACAGTTTCATGGTTTGCCTGAGTTACCTGTTAGTGCACAGATCATATATGCCACCAGCTTATGGAAGGTGAGGTTGTGATCCAATGGCTTTCTCAGTGTACGGCTGCAGAACTACAAATGCAGAATGATTGTGGAGAGGTGTCACCATCCAGCCTTATGAAATTCACTGACCCACAAATAACATGACTTGGGCATAACATGCCAATATATACCCATCTTTATCCAGTCCCTTAGTCACCAAAGGAGACCCCTGGCTTCCATTCCTAGGGACTTGGTGTCGGGCTGTCCTACTGAGGAGTTCACAGTCTATCTTTAATGTGAAAGTTGACCTAAGAACAGCTGGGACTTACTGAGCAGGAGCCCCTCAGGAAGGACAGCAGATTGCGACACACAGGAATCAGGATCACCATGCTGTTAAAATTCAAGCAGCGAGCAGAGGCTCGGGCCACAGCCAATGCCGTCTAGAGCAGAGGAGAGAAGAGACAGATGATGGCTTTATCTCTGTATCTAGCAGGTAAGTACTGGCCTCGTCCCTTTGTCTAAGACCTGCAAATGGACAGAGATACAACTTCCTGTCTCTTCAGTAACTCTCAGTAACTAGCATAACTAGTCCAGTCTCTCTGCAAAAGACAGAAAATGCACTGAACAGAAATTCTCATGAATTTCTCATGGTTTGGAAATGTGTGACTATATACTTATCAATATGGGGGAGAACAGAATTTAATGATTCCACATTAGTCTGTAGTGTGGGGAGCGGATTATGAAAAGCCTCTGAGAACTGGACATAAGCACAGCTGTACTCAATGTTCTGTAAGCTGAGTTTGGCAGAGCCCTGGCCACAGAATAAGGCAAGAATAAGATACAGAGCAGCTGGTTTTCCTAAAATGTTTCTGCAGGCTGAGATTGGCACAGCCCCAGCCACAGAAGAGGAAAATGCAAAACAGCTGCTTTTCCTAAGTTGTTTACAATCAGAGAAGCAGGAATGCAGGTTCCTACTGTTACAATGTCACGCCCCTCCCTGAGAGCTGTTGCTGCACCTCCGTTTACCACCTGGTATAAAAGACTTGCTGAAGGAAGACGCAAAGCTCTTGCTTTTGGCTTTTGGGCTTTTGGGCTTCTGGCTTTTTGGATGTGGGAGGCTTTTGAAAGGGAGGGTTGCTGGAGGGAGATTGCTGAAGTGGGAAAATGAATAGCTGAAAGGAAATTGCTGAAGGGATGATTGCTGAAGGGAAAATAATTGCTGAAGGGAAAAGAATTGCTGAAGGAGAATTACTAAAGGGGAATTACCAGCAAGTCTGAGGGCCGAGGCCTTAAGAAAGCTAAAGAGAACATGGGACAGTGCAAGTCTGGGGGCAAAGGGAGTTTTTGCTAAAGAACAGCTAAGAGAAAACATGGGACAGAGCGAGTCTAAGGAAAGAGGCTTTAAAGAAGACTTTAGAAACAAGGTTTTAAAGAATTGTAAAGGAGTAAGGCCTTAAAGAATAGAGAAAAGAAGCAAAGTAAATGAAGAAAATAATAGAGATAAAAAAGCAATGAGGCTGCTATGAGTGCCCAGCACACTTGACCCTACTTTCTGTCTGTCTGTCTATCCTGTGTTGTTTCTGAATCTCCTGTCGCTGCCCAGTTAGGCCCAGTTAGGTTCAGTAATAACTAGGAGCAAGAAAAATCTCACTCCAGTGTAGTATTTTGCAACTAGTGTTTTTGTTTAATACACTTAATTATGATCTATTATTTGCCCTTCATAAAAGTCTTCAGGATGATAAATACTTTTTTGGGGGTGGGAATGGAGTTTGAACCAAGGATTCATGCTTGCAAAGCAGGCACTTGTAAAGCAGGCGCTCTACCACTTGAGCCACATCTCCAGCCCCATAAATACTTTTATATGCATTTTAAATAAAGCTCATATTTAATGGTACAATTATAGATGGTGACTATTTTCTGTATTCTCTAACGTTGGAATTATAAGAATATAATAGTTGTATAATAAATAAAAACAAAATTTAAAAACTTATATTGAAGATACCTTTAAAAATTAAATAAAGCTTAGGCAAGAATAGTAAACTCCTTGGAGCAAAATTCTTAAACATAGGTAGAGATTTTAGAGGGGAAAACTTTTCTTTTTTTTGGTGTCAGGGCCTTGAATCTGCTAAGCCAGCACTTTACCACTGAACTATAACACCATGGCTGAAGAAGCAGAATTTCTAAGAATGGAGTCTCAGGCTGATTTCCTTGCGTGATTTCACACAGCATAAACCAAGACCAACTTGATCCAGCGGTAGAAACTTCTAGAAAAGGTGAGAAGTTGGCACTTAACAGAAGTATTTTAGCTCAGAAACATGCCCAACTAGGTACAGACTAGACAGAATATGCTCAGCTCAATGCCAGCTAAGCCCAGTCTCTCAACTCTGTACAACTGTAGTCCCAAATACATGAAGCAGACTCAGAGACAGTCGGCGTAGGGAGAAAACGCAGCTTCCCCCTTGTAGCAATAGCAGGCAGTTTTTGTTGCATTTCAGCTGAAGGCAGTCCTACGTGTGTGCCTGTCAAAACGCGCTAAAAAGACAAGTAGGGGTTAGAGTTAATTTCTCAGCCTTTCTCTAATAATCCTTAAAACACAAAAACAACTTTTCCATACAACCTAAACTCAAGACAATGTGACATCAGTTTAATAAGGCAGGTCAAGATCTCCCTAGGGTCCATAATGGCTCACAATGTAGGCAGCGCAGTGAACAAGACCTGCCCTACTGTTTTCCATTCCTGGCTATTCATCACGACCCACGTTTTCTTCCTACACTGAGCCACACTCTGACCGTCTCTGGTAGAGACAGCTTATTCCATTTCGGAGTAAATTTTCTTGCTCATCTCAGAGATCCTGCATTTCCACATTGGTTCCAACAGCTTGCTTATTTGAGTCACAGAGGTTTCTTAAAGCTAAAATTGGCAAGTGAATTGAAAATATAGAACTATAATTTCACATCTCCATATCAGGGCAGCTCTCTGTATGGGATGAATTCTTTTTAAAGAAACTTTTTTTTCCCAATTGCAGCACATTGAAGTATCCCAATGTATATTCATTTCTCCATATCAACTCTCACCAATATTATAATTGAATTGCTGCTGTCATTAATACTCCATTGATTATGGATTTAAACTGCCTTCCTCTGCCACTTACTTGCTCTGCTTCATAGTAAATCAATTTGCTCTCTATATTATCCCAAAGTAAGCATGAATTTAGGAAATACCCTATGAACCAGGTGCAGTGGGACATGCCTGTAATTACAGCTACTTGAGAGGCAGAGATCAGGAGAATCAAGGTTCAAGACCAGCTCATGCAAAAAGTTAGCAAGACACCATCTCAACAAATAGGCCTGGTGTGCTGGTTCACTTCTGTAATTCCAGCTATGTGGGAAGCTGATGGCAGGAGGATCTCGGTCTGAGGCCCACTCCGGGCAAAAGTGTGAGATTCTACCTGAAAAATACCTAAAGCAAAAAGGGCTAGGTGTGTGAGTCAAGTGATAAGAGTACCTGCCTAGCAAGAATGAGGCTCTGAGTTCAAACCCCAGTACCACCAAAAAAAAAAAAAAGGAAGAAAAAGAAATACCCTATGAAATGATTAAATCAAATCAATCATGGCACATCAATGCAATGGACTGTTACTTTCTTCAAAGGCTGAACTCTATCTGCAGTGGTATAGTGGTGATAAATGTTTTAACAACCAGCTTCTTGTGGGAGGGGGCGATTCTCCATTTCTAGGATCTGCCTAATTTGATAACATAACTACCTCCACTATGGCAGATTTCTAGGTATCAACTTGATGTTGGTGAACACCACGGGGTGCAGACTTGAGAAGAGACACATACAACTGGCTATTGCCAGGTGGTATGAACTGGCTCGAGCACACCAGCAGCTTACACGCTCACACAGAAAGCTATTTGAGATGCATTACGTGTAGGAAGTGATTTCCAGCCAGTATGTATGGTATGATCTCCTTTTTGCTTGAATAATAAAAATTATGTGTTGTACTATCATGTTTACCAAAACTCATGGAACTAAATACCAAAAGAGCACATTTTACAAATTAAAAAAGTGAATAAACAGTAGTACCTATGTCAAAAATAAAAACAAAACCCATGTGTCTGATGCATTGTGAGTATACGTCAGCATGTCTCTTCATACACACACCAAACTACCAATAGTGGTTATTTTGTGGGAGTAGAGTGGGAGGGGGATTTTTGCATTTTACTTATACACAATGTAGCTAGAGCTCATTGAAAGCAGCATCATTTATAATTAATTTTTAAATAGAGCTTTAAAAATTGAAACATCCTCCAGGATATCAGTATGAATCATTGTTCTGCTGTTGACTTTTTGGTCATGAAGAAATCAAATTCTTAATAACTAGTCACATTTTTTGCATCATTCTCTAATAAAAACCTATTTTCAAGACAAATTAACACTTCCCCTGGAGTTTTAGTTTCTAAAAAGGGATCAAGGGGGAACATTTAAAATGGAAAACAGCAGGGTAAAATAAGCCATGAACAGAACATTCAAATCCATTGTGATCTCAACATGGATCCTTTTGATTATGGGAAGAAAAGGATTTTTTTTTAAGGACAAGCTGTCTTTAATACATACAGTGAGTAGGCCTTTGTGGAAAGCTATTGAAAAAAAGTACTGTCAAAATGAAAGCAGTTTAATCAAATCACTTTCATTTACTGCATAGTAGACTAAAGGTGGTAGTCAAATTTGTTTTTGTAACAACGTAGGGCCCAGGTGCATCAGCCTGGGCATAATCTGCCTCACCTCCAGGCTTCCTGCTAGTCACCTCCACACCCATGTGCCTTACTCCCCTCCCTTCCATTCAGTTCTTGACCTGCCCCTTCCCCAGCCTTCTCCATTCTGTTACCCTGACCTTGACCCCACCTTGCTGCAAACCTTGAGTTCTGCAGCAACCCCCAATCTCCCTAAGCATCCCTGTTGATTCATAGGTGACATTAGTTCACAGCAATGGTTTTCCATTTTCTTCTGTGTTGCACTTTTGCATTTTTTCATTCATTTCTTTTTCTTTCTTCCTTTTTTCTTTATTTACTTTTACCAAACTTTCTTAAAATCACAAGCAGAAGTCCATAAGACAGATAAAGGCTGCTCTGGTGGAAGTGAGGGTGGAAGATTAACTAGAACTGCCTAGTTAATCTTCTTGACACTGTGAAGGATCACCTGAGTTTCTGAAAACCAGTTGGAAAACCACTGCTTAATAATTTTCTTTATTGTACGTTTTCCTTATAGGGCCTAGATAAGTTTATCATTTAGTAAATTAAAATATAGGATGTCCAGCTAAATTTGAGCTTCACAGAAAAATTAAAATTTTTGTATACCTACATATGTACTTAGAATATACCTACAAAAATGATTTATTGTTTATCTGAAATTCCAATTTAACTGAGCAATCTCTCTCTCTTTGTCTCTCTCTCTCTGTCTCTCTCTCTCTCTCTCTCTCTCTCTATATATATATATCTATATATATATATATATATATGTGTGTATGGTAATCCTAACCCTAGAAGAAATCAAAGCATGGGTTCACAAAGGGACAGGAATCTAAGATTAAAAATAAGTTGCCAGGTATGGTGGTACACACCCATAATCTCAGCTATTTCAGAAACTGAGGCAGGAGGATCACAAGTTCAAGGTCAGCCTGGGCTACATGGTGAGTCCCAGGCCAGTGTGTCATATGTAGCAAGATCTCACATAAAAAAACAAGAGAGAGATTCTGAACATCACAACTGCATTACTCACCCCAAGAATTTGTCTCGTGTAATAGTACTTGTCATTCTTCTCAAAGTTCAGGAAGGCTTGTACAAACAGGAAAATATTCAGCCCCAACCAAGCAGCCTACAGGGGAAAAACAATAAGGCATACAATTGAATTTTGGAAGGAGTAGATAAGTGGTAGGAAATAGCGTGGGCATTTTTCACTATTTTCTGTTTATCTGTTTTCATTTAATTACTTTTTTTGTTTTCATTTTAAATGAGTATAATTCTGCCAGTGTCTAACCTGCTTTCAGAATATGTCAGTACTTTGAGACATGCGTTAGGGCACTAATAAGCAAATCTGGCTCATTAACTATTTTATACATCCTGCAAACTCAAAATGGTTTTTAAGTTTTTTTGTTTTCTCATTTTTTAAGTGGTTGAAGACATCAAAAGAATATTATGTGATATGAACATTATATGAAATTCAAATTTCAGTGACCATAAATAAAGCAGTATTGGAACTTAGCCGTGCCTACTCATTTCTGCACTGCTTATGGCTATTTTCATGATAAGAGGGCAGAGTTGAGCCATATGGCTTACGAAAGCCTAAAACATACACTCTCTAGCTTTTTATAGAAACATTCGCCAATTCCTGGACTAGAGGTTTCAAGTTTTTGCACCTAGAAGATGGCAATAAGTGAGTAAGTGGATTTCTGAAGAAACAAAGAATAAATTTAGCATCTGTAACAATACCCATCCAAAAAGAGCTAAACCACTCCCAGATGGGCCTGCGTCTTTAATTACACCATGACACACATTTTCCTGTTTTTAGATTGTGAGTCTTTTTTTTTCAAATTAATCTATTGTTGTTTTGCACTCAGTCGAGCTGTTAAGATTGCATTTGCCTGTCCAAAGCTCTTAAGTGTGCCTTGACTCAGATGCTCACAAAAAAAGGGCCTTTAGCCTATGGATATGGCCCACGCAGAGTCCCCAGAGCTGGAGAGCACAGCACAATATACTGATTCCAAGTGTGACATTGGAGTCATAGTCCTTGGGCTCAAATTCTTGTGCCACCACTTACTAGCTCTGTAATTTTAGGCGCGTAATGTAAATTCCTTGAACATCAGTTTCTTCACCTGAATTACAGTGGACCTGCAGTGTCTACAGATAACAATCACAGCAACACTGAGGCTTGTATGAAATAAGTCTCAGTAATATGTAAAGTGATTAATACAATGCTTGGTGTATAGTAACAGCTTAATGAAAGCTGGCTACAGAATTACATCGTTACCAAACTGGCTTTACCAATCAATTTCTTCTTTTTTTTTTTATTTTTAGTTGCAATGGGGTCTCACTGTGGCTGGTCTCTCCCAAGCTGGTCTTGAACTCCTGGGCTCAGAAGATTCTTCCACCTCAGCCTCCGGAGTAGCTAGGACTACAGGCACTAATCATCACACCAGGCTACCAATCAGTTTCTTCCTGACTTGGTTGCTCAGAATCCTTTTCCAGAAGTGTCTTAGACATTCTTTGACTCCGGTGACAAGTGAGAGTTGAAAGCCACAGATGCTTCAAGAATTTGGAAACTGGGCACGAGGGCTCATGCCTATAATCCTAGCTACTCAGGAGGTAGAGATCAAGAGGATCTGGACAAAAACTTAGCGAGACTTCATCTCAACCAATGCTGGGCACAGTGGTATGGCGCCTGTCATCCCAGCTACACAGGAAGCGTAATTAAGAGGACCTCGGTCCTTGCCTGCCTGGGCATAAAGCGATATCCAATTTCAAAAAATAAAGAGCTGGGGGCATGGTAGAGTGCCTGCTTAGCAGGTGCAAGTCCCTGAGTTTAAACCCCAGTACTGCCAAAAAATTGGGAAGCAGAGGAGAGAGCTTCATTTAGAGGAAGCAGAAACATTTCAGGACGGGAGAGGGACACAGGAGCAAAGAACTCTGCGGCAGCTCACCATCAGCGCAGGCGCGGGAAAGAGGAGGTACTACGACGTGTAAGAATAAGGAATTCCATTTCTCACTTGGCTGTCATTTAAGAAGGAAGGAGGAAGGAAGAGTAAAATTTTTTGAGTAATTTATTTTTTAATCTAAAAAATATCACGCATAGGAGTCACAGAGAGCATGAGCCTGCAGCAGGGTTGGTGAGGGGTGGAAATTCAAAGCTAGACAGTTAAACGTGAGTCATCATCATGAGTGATGAATTCTGCCAGGGACAAAATGAGAAAGGTAAAAAAATGCAGTGAATTATAGAGCTGGAAACACCCTTATATTTGTAGCTAACCTAGTATTTCACTAATCCCCTATTCCTCCACCAAGCCACCCATCACCTTCCTCCCCAGGTGGGACCTGAAGCCTGGATAAAATCAATTTGATAGAGGACACTCATTTAGCAGAATTAAAAGTACTTGCCATCTTCCCCTTCTCCTAAACATGTGCCCTTTCTGTTATGGTGCAAAAGGAACTAAATATAGGGTGTTGGGTATTAAAAATGTAACATAGAATAACCTGACAAAAGAAGCAGTTGGCCTTTCATTAAGTGCAAATTAAACAACCCTCTAGGGTCATTCCACACTTTTTCCCTGGAGTACCTGGGGTCCTCTGGGACCAAAAAAGAAAATCAAGAGAAAAAAGAAAGATTCCCCAGAAGGAGAAATGAGCTAAGTTTTAGGAAAATGGAAAGGACACAGAGCGTCAATACTAGGTGTGGCTCAGAAATGGAATAAGGAGAGTAGGGAGAGGGGTGTGTTGTGTGTGTGTGTGTGTGTGTTGGGAGGAAGGGATGTGCCTAGGTGTGATAGTAAAGAAGTTCTGGTCTGAATAATAGGGAGCTGTGTTCGAGTCATGCTTTTCAATCAACTCACTGTGTAATAGCTGGGTCACTTTCCTTTGTAAAATCAGAGTTATTTTATATCTGCACTGTGAAATGCTGTAGCCACTACCCTTATGTGACCGTTTCTAATTGAGATGTGCCAAGAGTGTAAAACACTATGAGGTTTTCAAAGACTTAGAAAAAAAATTTAAGAATAGAAAAGAATAGAAATTATCTCACTAATATTGTCAATACTGATTTGAACTCAGGGCTTCATGCTTGCAGAGCAAGCAGCCTACCCCTTGAGCCACACCTCCAGTCCATTTTGCTTTGGTTATTTTGGGGATGGGGGGTCTCGTGAATTATTTGCCCAGGCTGGCCTTGAACAGTGATCCTCTTAATCTCAGCCTCCTAAGTAGCTAGGAGTACAGGCATTAGCCACTGGCTCCTAGCCTGAGTGGCTAATATTATTATTATTGAGTTAAATGAATTATATTGTTAAAATTTTCACCTGTTTCTTTTTTACCTTTTTCAGTATAGGTATTAGAGAATTTAGAAAGTACTTAAGTGAGTCACAGTGTATTTCTAGTGGGCAGTGCTAGGTCGGGATGATCCCTAAGAAAAAAAGAGTTAAAAAAAAAGATGACCCAGAAAAAAAAAAAGATGAACCCTAAGATCACTTCCATTTCAAATATTCAATCATTTTTGAAATCTTGTTGGCAGCAGTATAGGAAGAATAGATAGAAATCAATGCTCCATGGCAGTAGAAGTGAGATAGACAAGAAAAGACAGAAAATGAAAACAGACTTCAATTCCAAGTACTCATGCTTTGACAATATGAACAATTTCAAATTATTTGTCTTTGTTCCTTCATCTGGCCTACGGCTGGATTTTTCTAACAGATAACTGGCTTTGATTATCCAAATAATTGCCATAGACTCTTTCCCTTTCGAATAACTTTACACATTTTAGCAAACATGCTGCCCTTTTACTCAGTTAACATTCCTACTTAATAAGAAGCATTGCACCACTTACCAGAAACAAAACGGAGAACCAGTGGTTAACCACCCAGCTGCCCATTGTCAAGGGTTTGGAGCCTCCACAGGACCAGGGCAGATTCAGCAGTCTCACTTCTGGAGCAGTCCTTCAGGGTTGGGGCATCTGTGCAGCTCAGAGTCTGTGAGGCTTTAAGATGGGAAAAATGCACACCTACTCGCAAAGCTTGCAGTGTATTCTGGCTTCCTTCTCTGGACGGAACTATGTTATCAGCTTTGGTGGACCAGCCCTACCCATGAGAAACATAGGGGTTTTCCCTGTTGGGGTTTTTACCCCTTCAGGAAATAGCAGTTTTCTTGGATAAAAATAGCCTCTCTGAACTGCAAAGCACTGCTTTCCTTGATAAGAGATTTGCAAAAGTTTCCCATGAAAAAAATGATTAGACCAGGGCTATTATACCCAAATTATCTCAGCAGAAGCAGGGAAAGAAGCGTGTGTTTTATAAAGACACTGCTTTGAGGTGGACTTTCAGAAAGAAGAGTTATCAGGTCTGCCACCTTCCATTTGCACCTCAGCCTGGCTAGCTCAGAAATTTCAATATACCAGGTTCCCTGCAGGATGATCCCTGATTGATGGATATGACAATAGCACTGAGGAAATCTTGACTGGCTGGATGGACAGATGGGATAAGAGAAAAGATACCAAATATAGATGTACATCTTGGTTCAAAACAGAGTCAAAGCTCTCGAAGGGAGGTGATTGTCTTCCAGTGTGATGGACTAGCTAGAGCTGTGTGTTCAGTTCTGGGCACTAATATTTTTCCTTTTCTAAAACGGTGAAATATACATGGAAGAGTACACAAAGCATATATATGTAACTTAAAGAATAATTTTACAGAATGAATATCTATGTACTCACTACCAGGTTAAAAAAAAAGTGGAATATTTGTTTCTATTATCTTAAAGCATCCCCCATGTTTACATCCCTCTTCGTCTCCTCCCCCTCCCCCACCAGATACAACTTGAATTTTGGGATAATTATTTCCCTGATTTTCTTTATAGTTTTGCTAACTACAAATGCATACCTGAAAATATTGTTCAGTTTTTCCTGTTTTGAAGTTTTTGTAAATGGGATATAACTGCATGTATGTGGGTTTCTGTGATTTGCTTCTTTCAACATTGGTTTTTAGAGTGTCATATATGCTGGCAAATGTAGTTGCAGTTTATTTACATTGCATCAATATACCTGAAGTTACTTATTCATTCTATGATTGATGGACGTGCTGATGGCACAGTGTTGATGGGATGGTGCAAATATGCTACTGTTTCTCTAAGTGGAACTCCTGGGTCCTGAGATGTACATGTGTTCAACATTACTACATAATTTCAACTCATTTCCAAAGCACTCATAATGTACTCTCCAGTGAATTTTGGGTGAGAGCTCCACTTCTTCCACAGGTTTATCAACACTTGGTATTTTCTGGACTTTTATTTTTTTAAGAAATACTATTTTATTATTATTTTAATTTGCATTTCCCTGATTACTAATGACATTAAACACCTCTCTTCGCTCTCCCCTCTCTCCCCTTTCTCTCTCTTGCAGTTCAAGGGTTTGAACTTGGTGCTCCCTGCTTGCTAGGCAGGTGCTCTACCACTTGAGTCATGCCTCTGGCTCTTTATGCTCTGATTATTTTGGAGATAGGGTCTCATTTTTTGCCCAGGCCAGCCTAAACCACAATCTTCCTATGTTTCCTGTGGTACCTGGGATGATAGCCACTATGCCCACCTTTTTATTGGTTGAGATGAAGTCTCGCAAACTTTTATTGCCAGGACTGGCCTGAACAGCAATTCTCCTGATCTCAGCCTCCCAAGTAGCTAGGATTATAGACATGAACCACTGCACCCAGCAAGTTTTTTTTCTCTCTCTTTTTTCTTTTTGGTGAGACTGGGGTTTGAACTCAGGGCTTCACACTTGCAAAGCAGGCACTCTACCACTTGAGCCATACCTCCAGTCCATTTTGCTCTGGTTATTTTAGAGATGCGGGTCCAAGAACTATTTGTCTGGGCTGGCTTCGAACCTTAATCCTTTCAATCTCAGCCTTCCAAATAGCTAGGAATGCAGGCATGAGCCACAGACACCCAGGGAGTCTTCTCTTTTGGTAAGCACCTATTCTAGTTTGGGCTTGTATTTCCACTGGCTTATTTTTCATTTGCTTATGTATCTTCAGAGTTCTATTTATAATCATTAATATTTTATTGGCTATGTTTATATGGCTCGTCTTTTCACTTTCAATAGTGTTTTCTGATAAACGGATGTCCTTAATTTTAATGTACTCTGATTGCTAGTCTCTTCTTTTATGATTTATACATTTTGTGCTGTTTTACCAATCCATTGCTACCCAGAGATCAAGAGCATCTCAATTTTTCTACAAAAAATTATGTTTTTTCCTTTCACATTTATGTCTTGAATCCCCCTGGACTTTATTTTTTATTAGTGTTTATTAGTTGCTGGAGTTGATTTTTTTATGTGTGGTGTGAGGTAGGGTTTCAATGTGCAATTTTTTTCCATATGGAAAACTAATAAATCTCAGCACTATTTTGGAAAAGTACACTTTCTTCACTAATGGGAGATGTCATTTCTATCATAAATCAAAAGTCTCCATATATGTGTTTGCTCTCACACTCTGTCCAGTTCTCTGGCTGCCTTAATTACTATAGTTTTATAATAAATCTGAACATCTGATAGGACAACTTTTCCTACCTTGTTGTTCAAGAGTGCTTTGGATATTGTTGGCCTTTTGTACTTTTTTGTAAATTTTATTGCTAAGTACTTGAAATATTTTATGGTATTGTGAAATTATATATTTTAATTATGACTGTTATATAAAAATACAACTGGTATACATATTGTTGTTTGTACCCAACAACATTGCTAAACTCAATTATCAATTTTAATACTATTTCTGTATTTTGTCTTTTAGATTTTCTAAAAACATTGTGATGTTTTGGGCTCTAATTATAGTTTTCTTCCTTTCTGATTCTTATCTTTTATTTCTTTTTCATGGCTTACTGCACTCATTATACATTCTAGTACAATGTTGAATAAAAGTAGTAATAGTGGTCTCCTGATCTAAATCCCAGTCTCAAAGCAGATTCTTTCATTTCACCCTTAAGTACAATGTTTGGTATGGGCTTTTTTTTTTTTAGATATCCAGCTACATATTACTTTTCATTGAACATGAGAGAAAATTTATTTAAGTTTTCTTAAGGTATAATTTATAGGCTGTAAAATTTTTATCATAAATTTTCCAATGTAAGAGTATAAGTGCTCAATGCACAGCCATGCTATATTTATTGTGAAAAGTGGAAGAATATTTTTAACATCACAAAACCCATAAAAACATTTTCATTACCTGTCTAACACACCTGCACCTTAAGAGTTATGCAATATTGAGTGAAACTGGCACAGCAGGTGGTGACTGTACTTATGAAAATCATTCCTACACTAGGGCAGCTAGAAATAAGTTAACTACACACGGAAGTGTCAGAGAAATGCACAATATATACCACCAACACAACTTCCCTATAGCCATATTGCAGAAATGTTCACAGCCACTCCCAGATCACTTGACATGAGGGGAAGCATAACAGAGTGGAAAGAGTCATTTTAACTAGTTGTCATGAAAATACATTACTTTTGCAAATTGTACAAAGGCAGTTCACATGCCAAAGACCACACCTTAAAACAACAACAACAAAAAACCCTAAAGCCTGTCCATGGGACAGTGACCAGGATGATGTGATGATTTGAAAACATCCTGTATTAGGAGGAGTTACAGAATTTAGGGCGTTTGGCCTGGAAAAGAGGTTTGTCATGAAGACAGAGTCTTGTTATGTAGTCCAAGCTGGCCTCAAACTTGCATTCCTCCTGCCTCATCCTCCCAAGTGCTGAGATTACAGGTGTACACCCTTCGTCTGATTATAAAGCAAATTTTCTAGCACAGGTATTCAAAGAAGTAAAGAAAATGAGTTTCCTCTTACTTGAGATACTCAAGGAAAGATGGACAACCCTTTCCAGTTATTCTCTAGTCGAAATATCAGCATCTGATGGATGGTTAACTAAATATGCTTTAAGTATCCTCCAACTTTGACATCCTGTGATTCATGAGAATGACCTATAATCCAGATGACAATTAACCTAGAAGGACTGCATATGCCATTGCAAATGGACCTTTGTGTCTGTGAGTAGAAGCCCCCATTCCCAATACGAGTGTACTAGGAAATCAATGAGTTGATAAGCACAGAAGCTGAACAAGAGAGCCAGATGATCTTAATGGAAAATTATTCTTAAACTGCTGCAGCAGGATCAGTTAACCATTTTGCAAATAAGATCATACCAATTAATTCAACTCAAATATTCTTGCCTCAAACCTGAGACTCTTCTCCTTTGAGCAGTGCTAGACACATCAAAATTTTTGCCCTCAAGCTCCCATTTTCACGAATTCTCTATGACTCATTTGCTTCTATCAGCTGCAGACATTGTAATTGTCTTCCTCCACCCAGTATTTTCTCACTATCTTACTGTTTGCATTTCCCAGGTTTATAGATTATTTGACATGGACTAAATGTGAGGCTCACTGCTTCCTGCAGGTCTCTCAGGAGTACTTAAATGCCGTTAGTAACTTATCCATGGTCATAACATAGACTGCAATCTTTTTGGAAAATTTTCCTGTAGACGGTTGATCCCACCCAGACTGGGTGGATTCCTGTACACTGTAAACATACAGCTCTTCCGTGACTTGCCTGTTCTATCTTCTTCCTGATTACCTGTCTCAGTCATCATTTGCCCTAAATTCACCTTTGCAGTTACAATCCTTCTACACCTCTTCCAGGAATTAATAGGTAACAGTGTTGACCTACCAATTTAAGCATGTACATAGTACATTAAAATTATTTTAAGAATTTTTTAAAGAATTCAAAGGTTGCTATTTTTAAGAGGAAAATTTAAGCAGTTGTAAAGGAGAAAAAAGGGGTACTTTGTTGTATTTATTTTATTGTTTATAATTATTTTGAATTTGCACCCATACAAGATTATGTTGAAAGGACATCACTTTCCTTCTAGATTTTAGATCCTGAAAAGGTGTAATCTGGCCTAGAACAAGTGTCCAAAAATGAAACCTCCCATAATGATAAGAGTAATTGGCACTTGTGGAATCATTTGAAATCAGTCTTTTTCACTATGTTGGAACAGAACCAGACCTCATCAAAGTAGCAT